AATTGCAGTAAAAATTTTAAGGCTTCATTTCTCCAAGAGTATCAAAGTTTTTAATACTAAATATTTACTGAAGTTTATTTATTGATCAGTTATTGTGTTGGAAGAACAAAAATTATACTACCTTATACAGGGTGTCTAAAATTTTATTTTAAATAATTATTAGCTTTAAACGGCAATAACTTGTTTAATTTAAATGGAACGCCCTGTATATTTTAGGAGAATCAGATGCACAATTTAATTGTCTATCAAAATGTATTATATCACTTTTTACCTATCCCTTCAAGTTTTGGTAGAAAATGCATTTTCTTATAATTTAGACCTCATTTATCAATATACCCATGGAATAATGACATTTTAGATTGTTTTTAAAGCAACAAATGTACAAAATGTACAGGCTAGTAATATTATCGTTTTTAATAAATAATATTACTATCCCATTTGTATGCAAAAAGAAAACTATTTAAATATTTATAAAAGAGTATACCATTAATTAAATATACCACCATTATTTCCGTCCAAATACTAATTAATTACATACTTAATTATGTTCGTGAATAAATTATTCTAAATAAATGTGGATTTGAATCAGAAATCAATATAATAATTAGTTATGAAAATGAATGTCTCTTTTGTTACAAATAAGCATTTGTCAAAAAATGAAATATCATTTTTAAGGTGTTACTTTTTACCGCACTGTCTAATACACATAAAAAATTCAGTTTTTTAGTTTTTGGAGCAATAATTATTATTAATCAATGCAAACAGTCAATTAATGTAGTTTGAATACTGGAAATATATTAATTGGTCCTCTTTAACAAATATTTAAACAGTTTTTTTTATTTTTTAATGAAATAAACAAACTATATCGACAATATTAGTATCTGTACTCTTTAAAAATTTGGTACATCTTTAAAAATAATCTAAAATGTCACTATTCCATGGGTATATTGATAAATGAATTTAAAATTACAAGAAAATGCATTTTCTACGGAAACTTGAAGCTATAGGTAAAAAATGGTATAATACAATTTGATAGACAATTAAATTATGCATCTGATTCTTATAAAATATACAGGGTGTTCCATTTAAATTAAACAAGTTATTGCCGTTTAAAGCTAGTAATTATTGAAAATAAAATTTTAGACACTCTGTATAAGTATAATTTTATTATTGTAACACAATCAATAAAAATAAACTTCTGTAAATATTTAGTATTAAAACTTTGATACCCTCGGAGAAATGAAGCCTTAAAATTTTGACTGCAATTTCACAAAATTGAAAATATTTCAAAAACGGTAAGGTTTAAGTGTGTAATAAACCTTTATCAAATTTACCTTTATTTTATCGTAAAACCAAAAATGTAATAATATACAGGGTGTTCCATTTAAAAAGATAAAACTTTGATATTTTTTACTTATTTGGGACACTCTGTATCTTGCAAAAATATTTTTAAATTGTAGCTCTAATAGTCCTTCAACGAACCCAAAACTTACAATTTGTAAAAATCTAATCGTTTAGCTACAATACTCCGTGTCGTATGTAGTGAACAACCCTGTATAAGTGTGCTTAAAAAACAATATATACCTAGTTACTAAAAGAAATCTAAAAAAATAAAAAATATATTTTAGAAGTTTATATTATATGATGATCCTGTTTCACCTCAACTGACTACAACTGTTGATTCTTAAATGGCACCCTAGATATTTTTTTTACTTTATTCGATAGTAAAAACCCCGTTCTGAATAGAATCACATCTCATAATTATGTCAACATTTGACATTTTCGCTTAAAAAAAATAGTACCTGTTTTAATTTTCAATCTAGAGTGTCATGGCTGTGTTCATAACGAAAATTTGACACTAAACAGCAAGTATGTAGTACAAAACTATTCCTAAAAATGTTTTTTTCTAAATATGCCAATGAACCATTTGAAAAAATTGAGTTATGATTAAAAATACGATTTGGGCATCTTTTAAACGGCCAGGAAAAGTCACGAAAAATATTAGACAATCAAATCTTTTCCAAGGCTTCTTGATTAAAAATTAGTGGTTTTATCACAGCCATGATACTCTACAGGGTTGTTCACCACATACGACACGGAGTATTGTAGCTAAACGATGAGATTTTTACAAATTGTAAGTTTTGGGTTCGATAAAGGACTATTAGAGGTACAATTTAAAAATAATTTTTACAGAGTGTCCCAAATAAGTAAAAAATATCAAAGTTGTATTTTTTTAAATGGAACACCCTGTATATTATTACATTTTTAGTTTCTACGATTAAAATAAAGGTAAATTTGATTAAGGTTTATTATACTTAAACCTTACCGTTTTTGAAATATTTTCAATTTTGTGAAATTGCAGTAAAAATTTTAAGGCTTCATTTCTCCAAGGGTATCAAAGTTTTTAATACTAAATATTTACTGGTTTATTTACTGATCAGTTATTGTGTTGCAATAATAAAAATAATACTACCTTATACAGAGTGTCTAAAAATTTATTTTAAATAATTATTAGCTTCAAACGGTAATAACTTGTTTAATTTAAATAGACTGTATATTTTACGAGAATCAGATGCACAATTTAATTGTCTATCAAATTATATTATACCATTTTTTACCTATCTGTTTAAGTTTCCGTAGAAAATGCATTTTCTTGTAATTTAGAACTTATTTATCAATATACCCATGGACTATTGACATTTTAGATTATTTTTAAAGATGTACCAAATTTTTAAAGAGTACAGATAGTAATATTGTCGATATAATTCGTTTATTTCATTGAAAAATAAAAAAAAAGTGTTTAAATATTTGTTAAAGAGGATCAATTAATATGATTCCAGTATTCAAACTACATTAACTGACTGTTTGCGTTGATTAATAATAATTGCTCCAAATACTAAAAAACTGAATTTTGTATGGGCATTAGACAGTGTGATAAAAGTAACCCCTTAAAATTGATATTTCATTTTTTAATAAATGCTTATTTATAACAACAAAGACTTTAATTTGATAACTTATTATTATATTGATTTCTGACTCAAATCCACATTTATTTATAATAATTTATTAACGAACACAATTAAGTATGTAATTAATTAGTATATGGGCGAAAATAATGGTGTTATATTTAATTAATGGTATACTCTTTTATAAAGATTTAAATAGTTTTCTTTTGCATACAAATGGGCTTAGTAATATTATCGTTTTGCTAAAAACGATAATATTACTAGTCTGTACATTTTGTACATTTGTTGCTTTAAAAACAATCTAAAATGTCAATATTCCATGGGTATATTGATAAATCAGGTCTAAATTAAAAGAAAATGCATTTTCTACGAAAACTTGAAGGGATAGGTAAAAAATGGTATAATACAATTTGATAGACAATTTAATTGTGCATCTGATTCTCCTAAAATATACAGGGCATTCCATTTAAATTAAAGAAGTTATTGCCGTTTGAAGCTAATAATTATTTAAAATAAATTTTTAGACACTCTGTATAAGGTAGTATTATTTTTACTATTGCAACACAATAACTGATCAATAAATAAACTTCATTAAATATTAAGTATTAAAAACATTGATACCCTTGGAGAAGTGAAGCTTTAAAATTTTTACTGCAATTTCACAAAATTGAAAATATTTCAAAAACGGAAAGGTTTAAGTATAATAAACCTTAATCAAATTTACCTTTATTTTAATCGTAGAAACTAAAAATGTAATAATATACAGGGTGTTCCATTTAAAAAAATACAACTTTGACATTTTTTATTTATTTGGGACACTCTGTATCTTGTAAAAATATTTTTAAATTGTAGCTCTAATAGTCCTTCAACGAACCCCAAACTTACAATTTGTAAAAATATCATCGTTTAGCCACAATACTCCGTGTCGTATGTGGTGAACAACCCTGTATATCAAAATTTAAAATACATTCTATTTTTTAAGCGCAGATGTCAAAAGTTGACATATGACATTGTGATATGTCATTCTAGGCAGAACGTCATTTTCTATTAAATAAAATAGAAGTACACATACCGAGGATACTATGGGTGCGTCTCAAAAGTGGCTCACCCCTGTAACTTTTTTATCTTTAAAGATAAAAAACAAGATTTGGTATGTTAGTATATGACATAAATTAGGATTGATTGACGTATTCAATCCTTTTCGACCACTTCCTCTTTTACCGGAAATGACTACAACTTTTGATTTTTAAATGGCACCCTCGGTATTTTTTTACTTTATTCGATAGAAAATGACACTGTGAATAGAATTACATATCATAATATGTCAACTTTTGACATTTTCGTTTAAAACAAAAGTGCCATTTAAAAATCAAAAATTGTAGTCATTTCCGGTGACAAAAGAAGTGACCGAAAACAATTGAATAAGTCAATCACGAGGCCAATCAATCCTAATTTATGTCATATACTAACATTATGTCATATACTAACATACGAAATCTCGATTTTTTATCTAGAAAAATAAAAAAATTATACGGGTAAGCCACTTTTTAGACGCATCCGGGTTAGGGTACTATTTAAAAACCAAAAGTCGTCACTTCCGGTGAAACAGGAAGTGACCAAACCTAATTGAATACATCAATCAATCCTGATTTATGTCATATTATGTGATAGACATACACACTAAAACTTCCCAATTAACAGATTTAGTAACAATGTATCTAAAAATTAATTTAATAGAATCTATTAAATCTAACAAAAAAAAATATATTAAGCAGTATAAAAAATAATATAACAATATTTCAATGTTGCGGATATTTAAAATTGTACCTAGTAGTTTCCCCTAAAAAAAACAGCTAGGTGTGGAAAAATAAATACCATAAATATAAAAAAATGTGCCTAATTCGGGTAATACACAGCAAGTTGTGTTTATTCTGGAAAAATTATTTGTGTTAATTTAGAACTTGAATGTTGTCCCCGCGCCTGTATCTAGAAGTTATATTTATACAGTCCCAAATTAGATCAAAGTTTCTTTCACAACACACTGGCTGCTTTCTAGCAGTCAGTTTCGAGAAAATGTTGATTAGATTAACGTTGTTTTGTGTGTGTTTTCAACTAATTCGATGTCAGGGATATAATATAGGTAAGTACAGTCGACTTACTTATATTTATAAGACATTTTTCAAAACTTTTAGTTTTTTCTTAGTTACAACCATTTAAATACAAAAGTATTTCTTCTATAAGAGATATTTGATGGTAAGAAAACTATTGCAAGAAAACTAAAAACTATACCAAAGGTACCATTAAAAAAGTCAGTATGTAGAAAAGAGTGCTGTCTCATATTTAGAGATAGGTATCTCATGAGACATGAGGTAGTCACAAAATGAATGTTTAAAAGTTCTGCTATTGTTTATATTAAATGCTGAAATAAAGATGAGAACAGAAGGATAGAAATTATACATAGATTTTTTTTTTATTAGTCAAATAAACTTAACACTCAATTAAAAAAATCTAAACTAATAAGTAACACCTGCTTAAAAGTTGACTCTCACTCTACCTTCCTTTTCCATTCCATATCCGTTCCGTATTTTTTATTGTATTGACGCTATACGTAAGCTTCCGTTCCGTATCAGTTCCATACTTTTCATTGTACAATTTATATCATTACGAAAGTTTTATTTTAAAACTTTGCATCTTTTGAAAAAGGTAATAGATTTAATTAAGAGACGAAAGAATAAATAAATATCAGAATAATGTTAACAGAGCTGGTACAAATGTAAGAACGCTATTGTCGATATGCTTGAGTCTGCCCGCCAAAAAAATGTATGGAAGGAAATGATATGGAACCGAAGGGAAACGGAACGGATAGTATGCATTGTTCTATTCATTTAACCCCCGGTGTTTTCAGGTACGGATAGCGTGTTATAATCTGCCAGATATATTTTATTTGACGGATAGCAGAAAAACGCGTATCTTCACCTATAGATAACAGTATCTATTAGATAAATTAAACTTATCTCCCAGATATCCTATCTGGCGCCCGAACTGCCAAATAGTGCTTTATTTGTTTAGCCTAAATTAGCCCTAGATAACCCTAATGTCAATCTATTTCTTTTAGTGCAGTCAAAAAATAAAATTGGATTTTACATATCACTTCAAACATTAAAATCACTTTTTCTCACCTTTTTAGTTTTTGGACTTACATGGTTTTCCTTGTACGCCCACGATATATAATACTTGCACTTATTTCTGGGACACACTGTATATACTATACTTCTATTTTAGCTGGCTTTTTTGAAGAAAATGACAACGAAGCAAACGCAAAAGCATTCGAAGTGGCCATTGCCACCGCCAATACTAACAGAAAAGAAGAATATGCCTTGTCCATGTTCAACGTGATCATTCCCAGTCAGAATCCTTTTGTAGCAATGAACACTACTTGCACTCTCACCAAGCAATCTATTATAGGAGTGTTTGGACCAAGCTCCTTGTCCAACATTCACGCCGTCCAAGCAGTGTGCGATGCCAAGGAAATACCCCATATTCTGACCAAGTGGATGAACGGACCACCCAAATTAGGTAAAAATATTATTTTTAGATTTTTAATTATTTTTATGCCAGACTCGTACTTGTCCGTTTTTTTATATACTTTATTTAGTTCGAAAAGGTAAACGGTTTTCAAGATATTTGCGTTTAAAGATTACGATGCGTCGATTTTAGTATTAGTAAAATGATAAAATGTAAAGAAATTTTAAATAAATAATCTCCTGATTTCGCTAATGCTAAAATCGATGCATCGGAACCTTTAAACGCAAAACCGTTCACCGTTTCGAACTGAATGAAGAGCACCTTTTTTACATAAAGAGTCCTAGCTTTAATTCTCGTTTATTGAAATAACTGTATCTATAAAGATAAAAGAAGTACCACCAGTCTCCCTACCTACTAATTAAATTACTAATAGAAAGTACCTGTTCAGGGCTGTTACGGAATTTTATACAATTACCATCGCTATTGCTTTGGCATTAAAATGTGTCAGAGTACCAAATTTAAAGAAAAACGGTTTACCAAAAATGTTCTTAAAAATAATCAAAATACAGGGCTGTTCACTACATACGACACGGAGTATTGTAGCTAAACGATGAGATTTTTACAAATTGTAAGTTTTGGGTTCGATGAAGGACTATTAGAGTATTAGAGTGTCCCAAACAAGTAAAAAATATCAAAGTTGTATTTTTTTAAACGGAACACCCTGTATATTATAATATTTTTAGTTTCTACGATGAAAATAAAGGTAAATCTGATTAGGGTTTATTATACTTAAACCTTACCGTTTTTGAAATATTTTCAATTTTGTGAAATTGCAGTAAAAAATTTAAGGCTTCATTTCTCCAAGGGTATTAAAGTTTTTAATACTAAATATTTACTGAAGTTTATTTATTGATCAGTTATTGTGTTGCGATAATAAAAATAATACTACCTTATACAGAGTGTCTAAAAATTTATTTTAAATAATTATCAGCTTCAAACGGCAATAACGTGTTTAATTTAAATGGAACACCCTGTATATTTTACGAGAATCAGATGCTCAATTTGATTTTCTATCAAATTGTATTAGACCATTTTTTACCTATCTCTTTAAGTTTCCATAGAAAATGCATTTTCTTGTAATTTAGAACTTATTTATCAATATACCCATGGAATATTGACATTTTAGATTATTTTTAAAGATATACCAAATTTTTAAAGGGTACAGATACTAATATTGTCGATATAATTTGTTTATTTTATTAAAAAATAAAAAACTGTTTAAATATTTATTAAAGGGGACCAATTAATATGATTCCAGTATTCAAACTACATTAACTGACTGTTTGCGTTGATTAATAATAATTGCTACAAATACCTAAAAAACTGAGTTTTGTATGTGTATTAGACAGTGTGGTGAAAAGTAACACCTTAAAATGATATTTCATTTTTTAATAAATGGTTATTTATAACAACAGAGACGTTCATTTTGATAACTTATTATTATATTGATTCCTGACTCAAATCCACATTTATTTAGAATAATTTATTAACGAACACAATTAAGTATGTAATTAATTAGTATATGGGCGGAAATAATGGTGCTATATTTAATTAATGGTATACTCTTTTATAAGGATTTAAATAGTTTTCTTTTTGCTTACAAATGAGCTAGTAATATTATCGTTTTGCTAAAAACGATAATATTACTTGTGCCTGTACATTTTGTACATTTGTTGCTTTAAAAACAATCTAAAATGTCAATATTCCATGGGTATATTGATAAATGAGGTCTAAATTATAAGAAAATGCATTTTCTTCAAAAACTTGAAGGGATAGGTGAAAAATGGTATAATACAATTTGATAGACAATTAAAGTGTGCATCTGATTCTCCTAAAATATACAGGGCGTTCCATTTAAATTAAAGAAGTTATTGGTGTTTAAAGCTAGAAATTATTTAAAATAAATTTTTAGACACTCTGTATGAGGTAATTTTTTATTATTGCAACACAATAACTGATCAATAAATAAACTTCAGTAAATATTTAGTATTAAAAACTTTGATACCCTTGGAGAAATAAAGCCTTAACATTTTTACTGCAATTTCACAAAATTGAAAATATTTCAAAAACGGTAAGGTTTAAGCATAATAAACCTTAATCAAATTTACCTTTATTTTAATCGTAAAAACTAAAAATGTAAAAATATACAGGGTGTTAAAAAATACAACTTAGATATTTTTTACTTATTTGGGACACTCTGTATCATGTAAAATTATTTTTAAATTGTACCTCTAATAGTCCTTCATCGAACCCAAAACTTACAATTTGTAAAGATCTCATCGTTTAGCTACAATACTCCGTGTCGTATGTGGTGAACAACCCTGTATACGAGTATTAACGATCAAAATTGGTGAATAGTTTCCATAATAATTTAAAATTTTACTTAAACATGTCTCAAATAACAGCCAATTACATTTATATCATAGTAATTACTTTAGAGAAGAATAAGAAACTCGTAAGTTACTTTCAAGTAACTTAACAGTTTTTCAAATATACAGGGTGGTTCGAACTGTATTCCAGGAGATTATTTATTTGATAACTTTGATATTTTTTACTTATTTAGAACACTCTGTATCTTGTAAAATTATTTTTAAATTGTACCTCTAATAGTCCTTCATCGAACCCAAAACTTGAAATTTGTAAAAATGTAATCGTTTAGCTACAATACTCCGTGTCGTGTGTGGTGAACAACCCTGTATATTATTTTTTCCCATAGCAACTGTTAAAATTGCCTTATATCTATCAAAAAGAGTAGATAAAATAGGTAGTACTTTAACCGCAAGGGTACATTAAATAATAGGTACTTTAACAGCGAGGATAGGTTAAAAACTTTATTTCTTCTCGCACGTTTTTTAATTGCTTCCATTTTTGAAATTTTTTGTATTCCTTCTCATAAGTTATTCGGGATTTAAATGGAAGTAGTTTGGATATGGCGTTTGTCGCCTCAGCCTGTATATCTTGTGAGTTATCAAAACTGTAAACTAAAGACACAGCTTTATTTATTTGTCAAATTACATAGAAACCAACGCCAACCCAGCACAATTTTTCTTGTTTTTTTTTACTCATTTTTTTCTCTACTCATAATAAATTCTTTGAAATAATAATTTCTGAATATTTTTTAAAATGCAATCGCTATGGAAAAAATATTGTTTTATACACGACGATAAAATTGCATTATCGTCTCCCGAAATTAATTCATGCCCGGACCCCATTATACCAACACGCGATGCCATGCTACCCCACGTCGTGTGGATCAGTGCGTATGTTTTTCCATTTAATTACATGTATTGCGTACACACTAGGCAACACGCCACGCCATCCGACGCTATAACACGCTATGACACGTGTGATGGTCGATTCGTCGGTCCCAGATCTCACCGACGTGTGTTACGGCGTGTTGTTTCCCGCTTGCCTCTCTAGTCCCGCAGCTATCTACTTTTGTAGATGATGTTGGGATGCCTCAAAAATAAAATAAATCGATATTTTGAATCGATTCGACATCGGATATAACAAGATAGATCCAGAAAAAATCGGCAACAAAAGATTGATTTAATAATATCGATATTCGATTCTGAATATATTGGTGTACTGGTATTATGATTATAATCTAATATCGGTATGGGTATCGATACTTCTAGTATTTTCGTAATAAAAATTCGTGTGTTAAGACGTGTTACCTAATGTGTACACCCATTCCCACGTCGCACAGTGCTTCGAACATATGGCTCTAGAGGACAAAAATGCAAAACTTCTCTTTTATTGTAGGCAATTTATTCAAACTAGGTTTATTTGACACAAATGATGAGTACTCTCATTGTACTAAATGATGATGTTCTTAGTCCCACGTTTATGAAAAAAAATCTTATAAATAATAAAAATGTTGGAAAATTAGCTGTGTTCCATCTAAGGAAATAATAATTTATAGTATGAAAACGGTGTAAGTATTAAATAAATCCCTATGATAAAAAGGAATTCGAATAACATTAGAACATGATTCCTACAATATAAACCTAATATAAGATAAAAATGTTTCTCTTTAATGAAAAAGAAACATTAATGATATATTTAATTAAAAAAACTTAAGATACTATAAATTTAATTTCTTAGGGAATACTGCCCCTGCTCTACCATCCAAACCCATCTGTACACTGCCCATCTGTCCCGTCCTAGATAAAACATCCTCACATATATGATATTTCTGTACATAATTTTCTAATATTATGTTACTTTTTCATGTTGTTACTGGTTCTTTTGTTGGTATGGAGGGGTTCTGATGTTAATAGTTACCCCCTTTAATAGACCATATATCCATATTATTTTTTCTGTTTCTTTGGGTATGAGGGTTTTATAATAAATAGAAAAGATGGAAACATTTTTATGCCATATTTCTGCTCCAAATATAGTGGGCTCAGGGCACAAGTGGTTATTAAATTGGACTGGAAAGTTCATCAATAACTAATAAAGAACACATTTTTTGAAATATAAATAATTTTGTCCTATGATTAAGCCAAGTATTAACCAGATCGGCATTGCTTATCAATTTTACTCCATCTGAAAAATATTAAAAAATAAAGTTCGTCGCAAAGCGGACGCAGGTGAACTATACAAAAATTAAAAGTGTATGAATATGGCAACAAAAAATATTCAATAAATACGATATGTTTTGATATGTTTTTTTTAATGACTTTTGAAGTTTGAAAACGTAAAATTTTTAGGACCCATTTAAGAATCATCTTAAAAAAATAAATAAAACTAAACAATAACGAACTTGTTTAGAAATAAATTTAAAGTACATACCTTGTTTAACAATATCCATAGTGGCTTTCAATTAAGTACGTACTAACTCGTTTACGTTTAACTCCATATACAGAACTACTATGAATGTTATTCTTTTCATTGATATAAGATAATGATCGCAAAATTTATTTTTAGTAAAAATATTTGCTAACAAAAAAACGGTGTTTATGAAAAATAATATACAGGATGGTTCAACATTGCTATAAGTATAAAATTACATATTCAGATATTAGTAAATTTTAACTTTTTTTTCGATTTTTGTCCATTGGACGAAGCACTGTGCGACGTGTGTTACGGCGTGTTGTTTCCCGCTTGCCTCTCTAGTCCCGCTTTTGTAGTTGATGTTGGGATGCCTCAAAAATAAAATAAATCGATATTTTGAATCGATTCAACATCGGATATAACAAGATAGATCCAGAAAAAATCGGCAACAAAAGATTGATTCCCAAAAGATTGATTTAATAATATCGATATTCGATTCTGAATATATTGGTGTACTGGTATTATGATTATAATCTAATATCGGTATGGGTATCGATACTTCTAGTATTTTCGTAATAAAAATTCGTGTGTTAACACGTGTTACCTAATGTGTACACCCATTCCCACGTCGCAACACGTGGGATAGAGTGGCATCGCGTGGCATCACGTCGGGTGTTGGCTAATGGGGTCCCGGCTTTAATTTTTTCGGTCGACATTAAAAAAACATTTTATCGTATTGTATAAAAAATAACTATTATTTAACTTCTCGAGGGCTGTAATTTCTTTAGGAAACATTTTAGGGCCTATAGAAACTTTTTGTTTTATTTTTATCTGTAGGATCGATCACCCACCGAAGTTACATACACTATTTTTTGATACCCTGTATAAATTTATGTCTGGTCGTAAGAATTATTTATTAATTTTTTTTTTTTGCATACAGGTACAGCTCTAAATTTCTACCCCAATCCATCACTCCTAACCAGAGCCTACATCGACTTTATACAGGAATGGAAGTGGAAAACCTTCACTTGTTTGTACGAAGACGACGAAAGCCTGCTTAGATTATCCGGTTTAATCCTGTTTGCCAAGGAAAATTCCATTGTTGCCACTGTGGAACAACTGGACAGAGAAAACAGCGGAAATTTCAGGGACGCATTGAAGAAAATCCGAAAAACTAATCAAAAGTTCCTTATCATCGATTGCAGCAATGATAATTTGATTGAAGTTTTAGTGCAGTGTCAACAGGTCGGGCTGATGACGCAAGACTATCACTATTTCCTGACTAATTTGGATGCACATACGAAGGATTTGTCTCCGTTTCAGTGGAGTCAAGCTAATATTACTGGGGTAAGTTCACAAAACATCCCCTTTTTGAACATTTTCTTAAATGACAATAACTGGGCATAAAAGTTAAACTGTGCGAACAGTTGCCAGAGACATTACCTGTCATTAAAATAAATATCAATTGTTGACGTATGGGGCCATACTTGCCACTTATTTAAATTTTAGTTGATAAATACCCAGGACTTGCCCAGGAAACAGCTCTATTTCGAAACATCTTTAAAAAATAATCTAAAATGTCAATACTGCATGGGTATATTAATAAAGGAGGTCCAAATTATAAGAAAACTAGCAGAACAGGCCACGCGTTGCTGTGGCTAAGGTCAGTAATGGGCAAATACACGGTATATTGAAATTTGGGTAAATACCCACGTTTTTGCACCCAGAATATACCTAATCATACTCACGTTTTTAATTTAAAGTGTTCTAACAATTTTTAAAAATAATTTTTGGTTAAATTCAAATTATTGAATTACTAATATCGCTATTAAAAAATAGGGGTTGATGGTAGAAGGGTGAAAATTTATGGTTGTATGTATTTTCTAATGCCACATCAAATAAGAAAATAAAAATAAAAAATTTTGTAAAAAATATATAAAAAAATTGTGATGGAACACCCTTATCATTTAGGGGTATAAAAAATAGATAACAACCTATTCTCAGACCTACTGAATATACATATAAAATTTCATCAAAATCGGTTAAGCCGTTTCGGAGGAGTATAGTAACTAAAATTATTAAAAAACAACCCCTATTAAAAATAGGGGTTGATGGTAGAAGAGTAAAAATTTAGGGTTGTAGAAATGTATTTTTTATGTCTAAAAATGATGTCTAAAAAATATAAAAAAATTGGGGTGGACCACCCTTATCACTTAGGGGTATAAAAAATAGATAACAACCTATTCTCAGACCTACTGAATATACATCATTTTTTTTCTCAAAATCGGTCAAGCAAAATGTATTTTAATCGTAGAAAAATGTAAATATAATATACAGGGTGTTCCATTTAAAATAAATTGATACTCTTTATTTGTTTGGGACACTCTGTTTTGAAAAAAAAAATATTATAACTTTAGTAGTGCTCCAACGATCTCTTACAATTTCCTAAAAAAATCATCATTTGGCTACAATACTGTGACAATACTCCGTGTCGAATAGCGTTAACAACCCTGTATATAGGTTTTTAATCACAATTATGCAATGTATTTTAAAAATGTTGTATAATTATTGTAATAATATTAATATCCAATAATAACTTAAGGAGAAACAATTCTAGTTAGATTTTTTTGTATAATTTATATAAAAATTGATAAGAGAGATAGATAGATATAAATATAGATTATACAAAATGCAAATTTTCAGAAAGTGGAAAACATTTTACAAAGAAAAAACACCTGGAAATATCCTTAACTTGAAGCATTCGATTTCTTTCTGAATTAGATCACTATGTAATAGAAGTAAATTTCTTGAACTAATTTTTATTATAGGTCTTAAAATATTAAAAAATATATATTTAACTAATATTAAAAAAATCTCGAGTTTTACTGTCACAGAAACTAGTTAGAATAAAAAAAAAACATTCTGTTTAACTATAATTATATCTCTATTAAAAAACGTTCCTAAATTTATACGGCTATAAAAAATAAAAACATCCTACCTTATTAAACTCCTGGTAAAACACAAATAACACACACAGAACCTTGTAAAGTTACATTTTCACCAATTACTACTAGATAATTCACCAAAAAACCTACAATAATTGAAAATATAATTTTATAATCACGTTTATTTTGACGTTCAATTTCCAAACTGTGTTATAAACAAACATTCATTTTTTTCTTCAACTTAATCTGCGTTGCTAGGATACGAAGCCAAAGCAGCGCAGGCTTGTACCAAAGCCAACTTAGGTTAAGGCTTTAAATAAATCTTCATTTAATTACAGAAAAATTAATAATTTCAATACGAGCATTTTTCCCGCCAATACAGAGGGTCAAATAAATAAGTGCGAAAGAATATTAAAATATCTAATATACAGGGTGGCCCGAATTGTAATCGGGAAACTTCGGCCACATATTCTGCAGATAAAAATAAGTAAAAAAGTTTGTATACAATGATCTCCTAAAATGCTTCGTTTTGGAGATACAGGGTGTAGAATTTTCATTTTTATTTAATTTTTTTCCAAATAATTTCTGAATTAACGTTGATATTTGGATAAAAATTGGTGTTTGGGTGTTTTTTGATATAAGAAATCCGATTTCCATGTCGATATGACTTCTACTTGTAGGAAACGGTAGCTGCATGTTTTTTGACTGTTCGTTTTTACGTAAAAATGGCATCTTGGCAAAAATCGCTAAAGGCAACGGTTCTCAAGATATTTGTAATCGAAATAATCAATACGTGTGTCATCATTAACAAAAAGTATAGACATTGAATAGAAAGTTGTGTGAGTGAAATCATACACTTGACAACATTTTAACGTCGTACAGACACGCAATTTTATAGTACCGGGTGGCCAACGAAGAATGGACGCCAACTAAGAATGGACGCCGGCTGTATCTCAGAAACTACTTACCGTATAACTTTGGGAAAAAATTATAATAAGTAAATCAACCAAGAGAAATCGCTGGAAATTATTTTCAAGTTCGAAAAATGCCCGCTAGGGGGCGTTTCTCTAATAACCAATCAGAAAACAGGGTTTTTCTCAAAAATATGCAGGATCTTTTTTTTTTGGAAATTTTCAAAGTAAAATAACTCCGTTATTTTGGACTTATTTGAAAAACGATAAAGAGAAAATATGTTTCTTTTATCGAGATCTACCACCCTTTAAAATATTTGCACTTATTTCTGGGATACCCTGTTTATAACAATACACGTGATGCGTATACGCAAAGTTGCGAACGATGTCAAGAATAGGTACCCAGACTGGCGCGGCGCCGACTAGCGGAAAGCGGGAAACCTGCTTGCACTGTGTTCGCACACTTAGGTATAGTCAACTTATACCTAATGCTGGGTCCAGGCCAAGCAGACAAAACAACGACAAGACAGAAACATTCATGTTTAACGACAAAATTGGGCGACATTTCGGCGACATTTTTGTCTCATTTTTGTTTTGTTTCAAAATTCGGAGACTTTTCAATGTCGCGTCTCGAGTCGGTAAAGATCAAAGTGTCTATGTTTTGTTCGTATATTTTACGACAAGTTGTCGGCGCAGTGTGGATGGCGTGTGCTACCAACAGTAGGAAACCAGTGAGATCACACATGGTTAATAAAACTCATTGGCAACAACTAAACTTTTGACTTTATTGTACTTTTGTCCTTGCGGTGTGTACAATTTGTCTCAAATTTGTCTTGTTTTTGTATCAAAATCGTGTTTACTTTTTGCCGCCTTGGTCTGGACCCGGCATCAGAATGGACAAGGAAACTTCACGTGATACATATACGCTGCTTTTGGGCATTTCATTGTGTCCAGCAGTTCGCCATCTTTACTGATCATTCTCTCGATCTCAAGATATATAGACTCCCAAGATCCTTTTTCGTTACATCTAATTCATTTATCTATATAGATACGTCTTGTCAACCCAGACTCAGCCTACGTACAGGAAATCAGCCAGACCATTTTTGAGCCTGAAGACGAATTGGAAGATCCTTCAGTAACAACATCAAGACTGGAAATAGAGACAGCACTGACATATGGTAAAATAGAACTAGGTATCTTCAAATGATCTGTATACATTCTTTGTACTTTATTGACAGATGCGGTTCACATGTTTTCGGATATATTATCGAAAATGGAGGAGTACCATCCACCTTACGGAGCTAGTTTGGATTGCTACCAGCCAGACAGTTGGGAGTTGGGTTACAGCGTAGTCAACCTGTTAAAAACTGTAAGTATGTATTTAAAATACAGTGTCACGGAAAATGTCCGCATCATATGGACCTTTTTTTGTTTATTGTCTTTGGTGACATTTGACTTCGGCGATAGTTTCTGTTTTGATTTAACCTTTTGGAAAGCCCTGATCATTTTTGCGCTGCGTAGGTTTTTTATTTATTTATATATTATAATTTATTTGTATATTAGTAACTGCAGTGATAAGTTTTCACATAAAACTGACCGTGGCATAGGAAAATTTGGGCCGAGAAATATAAGATAGTGCTTTTACCCAAATTTTGTTAAAAATTGACTCTGATCTCTTTTCCTCTGCACCCTTCATATACCCGGTGTTTTTTTTTAAATTTAGTATATATAACATAAATTAGAATTGATTGATGCATTCAGTTGTTTTCTGCCACTTCCTGTTTCACCGAAAATGACTACAACTTTCGATTTTTAATTGGATAGTGTTAACGTACAAAGATCCAAGCACCAATTTTTAATTCGGAGATATTTAAGTAAATTATTTTATTGGTTCAAACAAGATTATAAATAAGTATACAGACTTTTTCTTGAAAGTTGCGTTTATAAGCTTATTATATAACCTATTTATAACCAAATAACGCTATATTTATAGGAAATTATAAACTATTACATGGCCTTTTTCTGTTTGTTCATTCATACTAATATTATAGTGCAATAAAAAAAAGGGAACCAAACGCCTGGTTCCTTCCACAAAAACCCCCTGTTAAAGAAATACAGTCTTCAATTACTATTAAAGTGTAGGATTTACATATATGGTTCCCTATTATAAACTTTAAATTAGATATTCTTCATTTATCTTGATTTTTTTTCTTAATGTATATGAAACATAGGATGGTTCTTTTTAGAAAACTTCAAATGCCGTAACAAAGGTTTTACAATATTATGTAAAATGCTTACTAAATCAAATTTTTCTATTGTAGACAGTGTGTTCAGAAAAGATATCAACTTTATTTTTACAAATATATTCACAAAATATTAACAAAAATATGTATTAATCATAATATAGTAAATTGAACATAAATATTTATATATTTGGTATATCTTTGGCCAAATAAAAAAAATAAACATTAAAAAATAATTTCAATTATGAACACTTAATTGAAATTATTTTTAAAGATAAACAAAACCATGGAATTTTTAGTCTTCTTGACACTCAAAATCTAAATCTCCGTTATACCCATCGATGTCATCTACAACTTCTTCACTAGATATAAGGGAAGTATAAAAGCCTTGATCTGCTTCTGGAATAAGATGCATGATGGATTTAATATCGTTCAGTTTGGGTGTTGAGACTGGTTTTCCATTAGGGTAAAAGTACTGGCAAATTCAGACTAAACACTTCTGACTGTTTAACTTTTGTTTGGCTTAATATCAACCTCTACATAGGCATCTTCATCGTAAGCGAATTTAAAGAATATGCTGTAGGGTGAATTTTTATTAATTTTTATTTCTCTGACATTTAACCAGTTTATTTTCTCACCGATGATATCCTTTTTCCTATTAACAATATTTTTTTCTAATATCTCAGATGATATGAAATCATCATTATTCATGGTATGTATTGTAAAAGGACTCTTCTTCCTCGAGGTCTTTATGACATTAATGTAATCCTGTGGCGTATACAGTCGCTGCTGGTATTTTAACGCCCTTTCAATGATTCTGAATAGCTCAGTTGCTGATTATTGTTTTGGTTATTTATATCGTCGAAAGTAGTAGAAAGAATCTAAAAAACAAGTTTGTTCACTATATTTTAATAACAATTTGTACGATCTACCTTTATTTGATTATTAGAAGAAATAGACACTTGTGTTGTTTCTTCTTCCGTCAATTCATTACTTTGGTCAGTGCGACTCTAAAATAAAAAAAAAATATGTATATATCATGTAATATGTAGAAAACGTGCTAAGATTAAAACAAATAAAATTTTAAATTTTAAAAACCACGTTATTTAAAAAAGAACCAAACAACGTCTTAAAGGAACCAAACGCCGCACATATCAAAATTAGGTTATTTAAAATGGAACCACAGATGTATATAATTTTAGGTTATTATACAAAAATATTATTTAAATCTTTACTTACCTCTAAAATATTTTCAGCCTCAAGCATCTGCATCTTTTTTCCTCTTGACATCATTTTTTTACTATGTTATCTACAAGGAAGCACTAAAAAAGAACATTTACCGGCACAACATTATCATAGCACGTGCAACGTGTGGTTCTTTTTTCAAAAATGAGATTTTAATAATGGCTGACATCAAAGGTGGAATTTCTGTCGCTAGATGGCAGTACTTCTAATTTTACGGGTGGCTGTTTTTAAAATCATAAGATATTGTATTTGTTTACCAGTCTGTCAAGAAAACTTGATTTTGGCGAAATGGCGCTTGATTCTTTGTTCGTTAACACTATCCAATTGGCACCCTCGGTATTTTTTTGCTTTATTCGATAGAAAATGACACTCTAAATAGAATGACATCACATGCCAACTTTATACTGATATATTTACTGTATTATTTTTTAGAGTAGCCATAGAGGTTTGACTGGGCCGATCGAGTTTGATAATCAGGGATCCCGCAGCGCTTTTAACTTGCAAATGTACGAGATCCGCGAAAGTGGTATCACGACAGTCGCTTCATGGAATTCCTCGGAAGGACTCAACATCACGAAGAAACACTCAGAAGCTGAGGATCTGGGCAAGGATAGCATGCGCAACAAAACGTTTACTGTCCTTATAACCTTGGTAAGTAAATTATGGACGATATTTAAATTTGAATGTTCTCATGGTACATACAGTGGCGTGCATATAATATAGGTGAAAAAGGGCAGTTATTAGGAATATTAGGTTCATACTTTATCTAATATTTATAATACATAATAATCTGGATAGTCTGATAACTAGCCAAATTATTTAGCCATGCTTACTTTGAGCAATTTCCTTGTATACTCTGTTTTTTTCTCGGTAAGATTAAGACAGATGATGATTGAAGAAAAGCAGATGATATATATACCAATATGTTTATTTTACTATAAAAAGTTTCTAATAATTTTATAGTTAACTATGGATGGGTTTAAATATAAATTCGTCATGTATATATATATATATATATATATAGCATATATATATATATATATATATATATATATATATATATATATAATAATAATTGAATTTTAAGGAAAACTTATTATTAAGATTTTAGATCAAAATGATTCATTCACCTCTCTACACATAATGAACTAAATATGTATATACACTAAATATTTTAAATAAAGATTGGTGTAATTTGACTTATAATTTTAAATTAAATTTTCTGATTATACTTTTTTTAATTGCAGAATAGACTGAAGCTGCATAACCATGACAAAAACTCTACATTAATACTCTAACTATAATATTATACGAAAGATTATTTATATACTGATCGTAATATATATTTCAAAAATTAATTTCACTTAAAATTATTAACCTTTCACCAAACAATTTTAGTCTATTATAAAATATTAAAAATAAAAAATAATGTTCAAATTAATTAATTTCATAATAGGCATTATCACAGATTAACTTAGTCTGTTTAGTCTGTGGCATTATTCAATCCAAGACATTAAAATATTTTATACTTTTTATATTTTATAAAAAAAAATTAAAACCCATCACTCATACAATGATAGAATCCCCATCTCACTAGATGTCTGTGTAATGGTGATTTTATATACCGTATGATCGAATAAAAATGGCGTCCAGTTGGCTTGGAAATGACAATCGATTACATTTTCCATATAATTTTACATATAAAATGACAGTGACCTTCATTTCATAGCCATCGCTGACGCCGTTTTTTCCGATCATATTGTATATTATTATTACAGTTTATAAATGCATAAAAAATAAATAAGGAATCTGTTAAAAATAATTTAATGCATTCTCATTTTATATTAATAAATTAAAGACTAGAGAGAGATATTTATTATAGATTATTTCTGTAATTATATAGACGGATCCATACGGTATGAACAAAGAGGCATCAGAACAGCTGGTGGGTAATGACAGATACGAAGGATTCAGCATTGATCTAATAGAAGAACTGGCAAAGTTGGAGGGATTTAACTATACTTTTGTCGTCCAAGCTGACGGCAAAAATGGCAATAAGGAAAACGGACGCTGGACTGGTATGATAGGTGAAGTAGTAGAAGGGGTAGGTAAACAATCTGATTCCAGATTTGTACACTTTACATAAAACTAATTATGAAATATACAAGAAATAATAAAAAAAAAGACATCGCAGCAAAATTGCAACTCGCAACTATAGTAATATTGGTTGCCTAAATTGAAACTCGCAAATAGAAGAAATCGCAAATCGCAACTATAGTACTATTGATTGCCTAAATTGAAACCCGCAAATAGAAAAAATCGCAGTCGCAGTTTCCTCTGAGAGCCAATCGCAGGTTGCAATTATTGCGATCTTAAAATCGCTGCGATTGAATCGCAGTTGTTCATCTCTAGTAAAAACAAAGAATTTGTAAAATAGCGATACTTTTGTCAGCCCTCTAGCTCATAAAAGGTTAGACCTATGAGAAGAATGCATGAGCATCAATTTTTAATCGGTATCAAGGTATTATTTGGTAGGGGTCATATTTACCTGCAAAATAGTGACAAAAATGAGCAATATCACACCAATCTTCTTGCGGACTTTGGACACATATTATCCCAAGCCTAGATAGGGTCAATCGACCAGTGAATGAACAGTTAACCGAAGTATTAACTTTAAATAAATCACGATTTTTTATTTTATATAATATGGGGTAAAACTGGTACAAAGGCAACTATCTATAATTGAAAAATTAAGAAAATATTACCTAGACATAAAAATAAAATAATACGGTTTCACAAATTTCAATTTTCGGTGAATAAGCGAAATATCTAGTAAATGAACGATAGAAGTCAGTGAATAAACACATAAAGACCAGTTAATGAACGTTGTATTTATTAAATTAAGCTTTACAAAAATTCAAGTTTAAATAAACATAAGCTTTTAATAAACATAATCAGGTAAGAGTATAATATAAAAAACATTATGCTGCATTTACATATTAATAACAAAAGTCCCTTCAGCGCTATGAGGTATTGGAACAGCAATTTTTTTCACAATTTTATCCGAGTAATACCAAATTTGATCAGGTGGTGACAGCCACTTCCAAGTGTTCTTTTTTTTACTATGGATGTTTTTATCTTTACCTCTGTCAGTGTATATATTTTGTTTATAATTTTGAGTGTTGTACATGTTTTTCTATATTCTTTTGTGTATATTTGTATACATATTACTTTTATTGTACCATGTGTTTGCCATACGATAAATAAATAAATGTACTATGGAGAGCACTTACTTTATATTCATTATTTTTAACAGCCTTTATTAGGACAGGATAATGTGAATCCTCATAGTTTAGAGACATAATCACCTTTAACAAAAGGAACACTTAAGTCAAAATTTGATGTTGATTTTTCTAAACTTATTGATAACAATTTAGGGGAAATTTTATTCTTAGTTCCTTCTTCGTCCGATTCTTCGATTTTTTGAGCATTATTACGCTTCGTCATATCTGACCATTTTTCTTGTTTTTCGTATGTTTTCTTTTTTTGTCCTTGTAGTTTCAGTTCAAATAGTGACAGATTTTCATCCGTACTTGAGGAATCATCTCTGTTAAACCATTTTGTATACTGCTGCCCGATTTTCTGATCTTTATCACACTTCCGCTTTTCTGACTTTTTCTCTTGTTTTTTGCATGTTTTTCTTTCTTGTTCTTGTTTTAGCTTTAATTCAAAAAGTGACAGGTTTTCACTCAAGTCTCTGTTAGGTCTCTTTATTTCATACTGTCGCCTGATCTTATTTTTTCGTTCTTGTTCCATTCGCTTTCTTTCTCTATCGAGTTTTCTTTTTTTAATGTCTTCCTCTTTTTGACGCTTTATTTTATCTTGTTCTTGATGAAATTCTACCCATTTTGTTGAAGTTATCGCCTAGCGGCACACTTAAGTTCATGCTGCCTGATTCTACTGCTCTGATACCCAGTGACAACTGCTCTTTGGAATATTTGAATCTAGTGTATTTCCGCTCCATCTGTACCAACAAAAAATATTTATTTTTAGTAACCGCCGAATACTTTTAATAAAACTATAATACTAAAAATTAACCTCCAAAACAAAAACTAGTGCCCACTTATCCTAATAATAAGAGACAGAAATCATTTGCAAAAAGGTCTTATGCCTAATCTAGTAAATGAACAGGAACAATATCCAGTAAGTAAACGATTCAAAATCCTGTTCATTTACTGGCTGGCATTTATTTTTATTACATTTAAGGTATTTTAATGGATTTACATATGTAAACAAAGCTTAAGGGTCATTTTAAAGCAATTTCAGATAATCGAATAAAATACCAGTAAATGAACAGCCGTCATTCACTGGAATTTGAACTTTTTTTCCCGCCAGTTATTAAACACATTAAATGAAAATATAACCTAAAAGATAATAGATGTTTAACTTTTGGATTAATAACGATGAATTGTTGAAATATATATTCTCACACACTGCCAAGCTTTTATATTTTATGAACAATTAAATACCATCATTAATAATAGGATATGTATCTACCAAAGACATTATAAAGATAGACCGAACATCTCATTCATAAATACTCGTTGGTAGTGTATCAAACATTCCAATGTGTCAAACAAGGACAGAAGAGACAGAGAAGTCTAAAATTTCCGTCCCCGGCAACTAGGCGCATTTGGACTGTTCTATTGGCCAGTGGCGTATCGTTTTTGGAATGAATTTAACTAGTAAAGTAAAAGTAAATTAAATAGTAAAATTTATACTCCATATTAATATACTACATTAATACTTTTTCGTCAGATGAGTTTTGTTATAAGGTCTAATATAATAATATAATTAATATGCCATATATACCTATGGTGTGAAACGTTAGTAGGTGGTTTTCGAAAATCGATCCAACGTCGATTTTCAATTTAAACTTTCAGTTACTTTTTGAATATTTACAGGGTGACTCAGGCTTCCGGAACAGTTCTATATTAGGTTTGTGGTTGGTGACTTTTTTCTTTCAATTTTTTCAGAATATGGAGGCAATGGTAAAGCACATTTTAGACATTTTTGTAAACATGGGTGGCTTGGAACATATTTTCAAACTAGTTCAAAAGTTGTAGATTTGTCATTAAATTTTCATTCCAGAAATACCTAGGGTTGCCACCTGTCCTTTTTTGAAAAGGACAGTCCTTTTTTGGAATAACTTGTCCTTTTGACTTTTTTTGACTTAAAAAGTCATTTTTATTTTCGTATTTTCCCTGAGAAAATTACCTACAGCAAATTATAGAACTTATAAATACATTTTTCTTGTTTAGAATAGGCAACAGTATTTAGAACTTCCCGTTTAATCTGAAATTATAGTTTAGGTTTTAGTTTTACCTTTTTTGCCTTACCTTTTTCTTAAAAAGAACTTCAAAATTAGTAATTAGTAACGATTTAGTTAGTTCGCAATCGATAGCTTCCTGTGAAGTACTGTGTAATAGTTGTTTAATCTTGTATCATTAATAACTTCTTATACCTAAAATCAATATTTAATGAGAAAATTGTTTTTTTTGAAAATATAAGACAAGATTTGACTTTCGCTCTTCTTCTTGTATTATGATGGCTCTGATACGAGGCAATTACCTTTTAGTCTCTCAGTAGAAGGCATTTATCATTAAAAGTATCAAATCTGTGTGCTACAGTATGGGATTTTTGTCGCATAATAATGAATATTACGTTTGCTTCATCTACGTTACCGTAGATGGAGCTCAAAGCTTACCACAGTTAGGTACTAATTGAGACGAATTATAATTCAATTACCGGCTACTACGTTCTTGTTTTAATATATTAATTACAAATATAATTAGAAATTATTTTGATTGTGAGAGGCTCCCTTGTGGGACGCCTATGTACAATGACGACGGAAATATAAAAATGTGAAAACAATACCCACTTGTGAAAAGACAAATTCGAGGTAATTTGAGCTTATTTTTTCCACACAGTTGACACTGTCGTATCGTACTGAATTCGCAGATTCAAAAGTACGTTAAACAAAACAAAAAACCACCGAAAAAACACTGAAAAGTTCACTTTCGTCTTGATTCCGACTTCAGACACACCGCAAGCTAAACGTAGTACGCTATAACCGGACCAAGGGCCGTCGCGAGGGGTAAGTGGGACGGACGGCTCATTTCATTCTGGAAGACTAGCAGCGACGTTGCCAATAGTTCTAGACGTTTTCAGCACATTAAACAGTAAACATGTCCTTTAATAGTAACGCATATATCCTCTGGTTAATAACATATTATTACGCATGCTTCTTTAAAAATAAATTATTAATTTAATTAAGAAATTGAGATTTATTGATAATCCGGTAAAAGGTTTTAAAGTCACCCTTTCTGTAAATCAAACTGAGTAGATAGGCGCAAATTTGAGATGTGGCAATGTCGCCTTCTCTATCTCAGTTGGTTTTTACAGTACGTAGTCAACCTCCGATTGTTTGATCGGGTTAAAATGTCTCATATGATATCTGTTCTTACTAAATCTATGGTATCTACTTACCCTAAAGAAAATGGCGCTGAAAAGACTAACAACGTCAGACCACAACTTTGAACAGCGATTTGCACGTGTCGTTTATTAACTACGCAGTGTAAATTAGATTAAAAAAGGACAACCAATAGAGTTTAATGGCCGTATACCTTATTAGAGCAAGATAAAGTTATTTTGTTCATTAAATGGGTCACATTCATTCCCTGGTTGGTTTACCCTATAACGTTTTAAAATAATTTTCAAAACTCTAGGATTTTTTCGCACCGATATCACAGATAACATGTTATCTGTGGCGATGTGTCTAATTTGACTGACCTAATGTGAAGATACCATAACATAATCATCTTTTTCATATTTAACAGAGAGCTGACATGGCAATCACCGACCTCACCATCACCTCGGATCGCGCAGAAGCCGTGGACTTCACCTCGCCCTTCATGAACCTGGGTGTCAGCATCCTGTTCCAGAAACCATCCAAAGCGCCACCCAACTTCTTTTCCTTTGCTCAACCCTTCGCTCTGGATACCTGGATTGCTCTGGCCGTGGCCTTCTTGATTGTATCGCTTTCCTTCTTCTTGTTGGGTAGGATTTGTCCGGATGAATGGACCAATCCGTACCCGTGTGTCGAAGAACCGGAATATCTGATTAATCAGTTTAGTTTGGCCAATGCTGTGTGGTTCGCTACTGGTGCTATGTTGCAGCAAGGTTCGGAAATTGCACCCATGTAAGTATGAGAAGTTTATTTAAAATTAACTACATATAGTCTATAAAATGAATAACTTTGAATTTTGACCGTTATTTTTTACCAACATGGCAAATATAAAATCCCTCTATCAAAAAAGTTACTGATATTCTTTAAGTATTCTTTAAATTGAGTGCCTGAACGAATCAGATAAGTAACTCTTTTTACTTTCTTGAAATAGAAAAGGAAAATAATAAAACAAGTGACAGTTCTTCCTCTTCTTGCAAAAATCAACAAGAAATTGCATAATTGTCAAAAGTAAAATGTCATCAGCTTTTGACATTTCTAAATACAGACTAATGCCGTCTCTGATAGAACAGCCTCGGAGCGAGATTTATGACGTCACGCTAATTAGATACAAATTAATAAATATGTTGTAGAATACATGGAAAACATAATTATTCCTCGTATTTTTGGTTTGTATTTTAAAAATGATATAGTTTACATGAAATATACATAATTTACAGTTAATAAATATAATATATATACCTATTTATAGTAATAAATACTTTGGCAAATAAACTATGAACCATACAAATGCAGCAAATGTTTTACAATATACAAATAATGAATAAGTACATAAGATAATGGGTAAAATATTAAATATATTTTAAATTTTGGGGTTTGAAAATTGATCTAATTTAACAAAAAACATTCAATATATACTAATAGTGATGTATTATTATTTGCATTCACAAAATTTATATGTACATATATTTTTCAAGTATCAGTGTTCGGAAAATTATATTTGCAAATAATACAATATCATAGAAAAAAATGCGTCAGCGATGGCTATGAAATAAAGATCGCTGTCATTTTATATGTGTTGTGTCATATAAAAAAAATAGTGTCGAATATAATCCAAAAAATTGCATATAAAATATTCACACCACACACCACATAATATTTACTGCAATTAATAAACTAATATGAACTTGTCAAAAGATGACCACATATTTTTTAAAATGATTATTCTTAACACTAAAACTACCTACATTAACTATGGAGTACGATTCCAGCGCTAGTCAAATATAAGGAATAATTATGTTAGCGTGACGTCATAAATCTCGCTCCAAGGCTGTTCTATTAGAGACGGCATTGCGTCAGCATGGCCACAAGTTGCTAACCTAATAAAATTAACACTAGAAAAGCCCGCGGGAACTGTCAAATTCAAAGTTATTCGTTTCACAGACTATACTATACTATCTATAACTCTAGTTTCTTTAAGAATATCTAATCTAACTATTGCTCTGTTGTCGTTAATTTGTATTTAGTATTTCTTAAAGCGGATTCTGACGACTCGTGTACTTGGCAAGTATACCTACTATCTCATTTTTATCACAACATTTGTTTGCAACAAGCTTGGCGCTCACGCAGCACGATGGGTGACAAATAATTTCACAAGTAAACCTCTCACACGACATGGCAAGTATATGCCAATAACAAATGTTTCTACAAGTACACGAGTCGTTAGAGTCCGCCTTTACTTAATGTTTCATACATTATATACAGGGTTACAATTTGAAAAATAGCGGTTGTGAATGTTTCTTAGACAAAATAATCACCGAGATCTCTAACATTATAATAAAACACTAGTTCGATACAATACACCAAATACTAATAGTTTCAGCATAGATGCGATTTTACCATGTTAGTAACAGATGATCAAAACTAAACTGTTAAATTTAATTAGATTCTTAGAAGTGGTTATCGGCCTCATCCACTTTTAATCATCGACCCTTTCAGATTACTGTGATTCTCCTTTTCAAAAAGTCTAGCAACTTGGATGCTGAACCCTATATATAACTCTCTGTCAATAGCCTATCATTGTCTATCACCGAGAACCGCATATTTGCCAAGCTGTCACACCGACATACAATGTGTTTTGTCGTTTCTTCTTCAGATTCAAAACCTGCACATGGCTTCGTCCGTTAATCCCATCAGCCTGTCACTGTCCTATTCAATTTCTTCATCATTTTAGAGATTTGTTGGCTATCCACTGTTTTGTGACCATTCTTGAACCTGCATTTGCAGCGCCGCAGAAGGGTTCTAAGTCTTATAAAAATGACATTGATGAGCCTTGTTTGGCCATTTCTTCCGTGTTTTCGTTACACTTATGACCCTCGTATCCCAGTAACCAAGCTAATGTAACATTGTTATGCTTTTAAACACCAATATCTCATATACTAATAGTACCTCCCAAGTAGCATTTTCACGACTTGCGACCACATGTTTACTAAACACAACGTTGGATTAGTTACAAAATATAGTTAGCTCCCTACCTTGGGTATTAAAATAAATTTAAACGTTTTTATAACGTTGTACCGACGTTGGACTAGTACTACAGCAAAGTAGAAGCTTCTGCGACGTCGAATAAACGTTGTCTTGTAACCTTATTTGCTTAAGTGATCTTTAGGTGATTCGGACAACGTAGTTACAACGTTGGACAATATAGAGTTTTCCGGCGTCAGTTTCAGGACCTATTCCAACGTTATGCAAACGTCGTCTGTTTTACTAATTCCAACGTTGTTTAGATTTCTTCATCTTAAATTTTCACTTCATTGTTCTGTTCAGTCAGACAGTTCAGTGCTGTTTTTGTTTTTATAAAAAAAAACTTAATTAAAATGGGACATAAGAAAGGTACATATAAAACTAAATTTAAATATACATCGACATATATTACCGATAGTTTATCCACTCCCTCGTTTATAGACTTATAGAGGGCAGCACAATTCATTATAAATAGCTGGAACATGCGGTCAGACACTGTCTTGTTATTGTTGTGTTATTGTTTTAGGTTATAACGAGTGCGACACGAGCGATAGATAGGTTGTCTCTGTCGTAACGGTCGTTCCCTGACGACTCTGCCGAGAAACACAACACAAACTTTCGTTTCTCAAGTACACCTGAACTCTCCGTATCATAGCCGGGTAATTTTTTTATTTTAATGAAGCTATAATTAAATTAAAAATATATCGTATTTAAACTTTTTTATATTTTATTAAGATTTAGGACAGGTTTTTTAAATATAAGTTTAGAAAAAACAATTTAGAGTCCAAAAAGGATAAAAATAATAAAATACACGTTATAGAAGAAATTTTATAATTGAAATTAGGTAATTTTTGAAATTAATAATAAATTATTAATTTTAGTCAAACATTTACAACCCCTAATATTAATCAAAACAGGATCTATTCCACAGATATAATAGAATCGGCGACAGGGAGAGAAAAAAAAATATGATTGTTGTAATTTTGTTTCTGGTTAAGTGATGTCTTATTATGTAAATTAGAGAAAACATAAATCTGTTCCATTAAAGCAAGGAAGGTGATAAAATAAAAACTACATTTATTTAACTCGGTACTGTCTTTATTATACCGGGTGCGTCTCAAAAGTGGCTCATCCCCCATAATTTTTTTATATTTTCAAATAAAAAAACAAGATTTAGTATGTTAGTATATGAAATAAATTAGGATTGATTGACGCATTCAATTGTTTTTGGTCACTTCCTGTTTCACCGGAAATGTCTATAACTTTTAATTTTTAAACGGCACCCTCGGTATATTTCTACTTTATTCCATAGAAAATGACACTCTGAATAGAATGACATATCATACGTCAACTTTTGACGTTTTCGCATATGGTTTAATTGTAATTGTAACACGCGGTTCATAACGACAATTTGACGGGAAATACCAAGTGTGTGGTATCAATATATTCATAAAAAAATGCTTTTTCCAAATATGCTAATGAGTCTCCCTTGTTCCATTTGAAAAAATTGACATATGTATGATTAAAAATACGATTTGTACATCTTTTAACCGGCCTAGACAAGACACGAAACCTATTAGACGATCAAAACTATTTTTCCAAGGCTCCTTGATTAAAACTTAGTGGATTGAAAAAAACTGGATTGAAATTTAAAATAGGATATGTTTTTAAGCGACAATGTCAAAAGTTGACATATGATATGTCATTCTATTCAGAGTGTCATTTTTTATCGAATAAAGTAGCAATATACCGAGGGTGCCTTTAAAAATTAAAAGATGTAATCATTTCGGTAAAACAGGAAGAGACCAAAAACAATTGAATACGTCAATAAATCTAATTTATGTCATATACCTACTAACATACAAATCTGTTTTTTTATCTGAAAAAAATAAGAAAAGTTATAGGGTTGAGCCACTTTTGAGAGACGACCCGGTGTATTAAAATATTGTTTCATAATGTAATATCATTTTAAAATTCTTGTATGTTATTTTAGATTCTGAAGATAATTTTAGAATAAACCGGAATATATTTTTAATAAAAACATTATTAATTATTAACAGGGTTATAATTATGATTTTGTTACAATGTAAGTAAGTAAATAATGTAATGTAAGAGAAAAAATTCAGATTTTACATTTTACTAAAATATTATCTAAATAAGCGCCTTTCTACAACAACGCCACTGACTCCCAATGGGTAAATTGAGAGTTGCCTACCGGTCAAAAGTCGTTTCAAGACTTAAATGGATTATTTAAGTCAAATTTCTTGCAAATTTGGCACTGGCGAACCATATTTTATAGTTCTTGAACAGAAAAAGTCAATAAAATAAACACTTAAGCACTACAAGCTAAGAAAATGCGTTAATACAGCCGGGGAGATAGCGGCAACAAAGCTTTACCGCACACGTGCGACACGTACTACAAGGTAATAAATGAATGAATAGGCTCCCTCGCCTCTAATCGGTGTTGTCATATTGTAAAGAACTTATCCTTTTTAAACAGTATCCGACTTATAATTTAGTAGTATAAGGACTATTTAATACATCTCTGGAATATTAAAACCTACTTTATTAAACTGTAGTATTAATATCTCAATATATGTGTATAACAAGAAAAAAAATATTGATAATATTAAAGACGTGACAACATAGGCTGGATGAGGAAGGCTCGGTCGACTGTACCCAGAAGTAAACATGTGTACAAAAAAGGTTGTTTGTCCGCGTTGAGATGTAAATAGTGTAGTCTATATTTTATTTTAAGTCTATGTTACCGATAGTTTATCCACTCCCTCGTTTATTTAGATTATAGAGGGCAGCACAAGCTAGACTCTAGAATGACTAAATTAGGCAATCTTGCGACTAGTATACTACCTGTTAAGGCCGAACTGCGACTTTATTAGTCCAGTATGCGACTACTCGAACTACTTCATCTTAATCTCCAAAACAACAAAGTGAAAGCCGCCATGTTGTTAAATAAGAAAATGTTTCGTTCCTAAAATAGCAATTCCTGCTTTTTGAATACATTAACTTGAAATATTTGACCCTAAAAAACACGCGGAAACAATTTTTTCGACTGCGGATAAATTATTCTCATTTTACTAAAAAAAAAATTCAAGAAAATTTTTAAAACTTTTTTAATTTTAAAGCCCATTAGTATTTTTCAAAGTAGAAACAATACATTTATCAATAAAGTTGTTTGCGTTTAACTTTTTTGCATTGGGTAACGAGTTACAGAGTCGGTTAAAGTGTTTCAATAATTATGATCTTCAAACATCCTCCACACTTAAATACTTTTGTTTTGTTTTCCTTCACTGCCATCTGACTTATGTCTCTAACTAAATCATAAAAATAATATTTTTACTATAATTATCCCAATTTAGGATAAAACGCGACTTAGATGCCATATTAGTTTTGTATTTCCGTGAATTAGATTTTAAAACAACGTTGCAGTTTGTACTAAATTAGGCTTCTAGCCAACGTCGGTATCCAACGTCGTTTCGACCCAAAAATTATTCTCCAAATTAGTGCAGACTAGGGTTGGCACGAGGTTGTGCCGACGTTGCGCCCCGACGTTTGGTCGCTTGACACAACGTTGTCCCGACGTCCAAATGCTGCTTGGGCTACGATTTAAGTTATTGCTTAAAAGACTGTAAATAAAAAAGCAACTAGATTTTCAACAATGTACCACACAAAGTAGGCAGGTTTTAAAAAATAAGTCAAAAGTACCTAATTTTGATTTTCCCTCTGGTACGTGTTTGATGACTATAATTTTTTAGCGCAATCCCTACACGTTTAGTATCAGGAGTATGGTGGTTCTTCGTCCTGATTATGGTATCTTCCTACACCGCTAACTTGGCTTCATTTCTGGTGTCTGAAAGTCACGTAGAACTGTTCACTGACGTCAAGAGTCTTTTGGAAAAAGCCGACAAGCACAATATACGTTACGGAGCAAAAGCCAAGGGAGCTACCCTGGATTTTTTCGAGGTAATAAGCTAGATTAGATAACAAATACACCGTGTGTTTCGTACAAAAAAGTTACGGAGACACCTGACAATAAGACGAGAATAAAGGTCAATTCACGGTGCAACATGTGTAATCATCTGCGTTGAACAAAACTGAGACCTTAAGGTACTCTTAACTTTCAGAAAAGTACTGGTAACGAGCTACATCAAGAAATTGCGAGGCACATGCGAGAACACCCTGAAGATATGCCCGGGGACAATAAGGTAGGTGTCCAGATGGCCGAAGAAATGAAGTATGCTTTCTTTATGGAATCTACCACCATAGAGTATACCATTCAAAGACACTGTTCGCTTACGATTGTGGGAGATCGGTTAGATGAGAAGGGCTATGGAATAGCTCTAAAAAAAGGTAATTCAGATCATTTTATGATAGTTTTGTTTTTGTTATATTCTAATGTTTCTTACTAAATACTAAATGGTATTGCTAACAAACTTTACGTTGGTAGAAGACATAATGCAAAATTTCGTAAATAATTTTGAAAAATGCCGTATAAGTGAAATGTTAAGAAAATGAACTGACTCTGTCATTAAATTTCTAATATCATTCTTTTTTCAAAATAATTTAAAAATTAATTTCAAGGAATTTAGTTTATGGATAACTTACTAACTAATACATATTCTTTTAAAAAATCATTGTAGATTCGCCATATAGAACTAGACTCAGTTTAGCTATTCTAAAACTGCAAACATCTGGAGAAATTGAAAAAATCCGGAAGAAATGGTGGGAAGAAAGAAAAGGTGGTGGTCAATGTACGGTAAGGTCAAATTATATACCTGGAAATAATTACTTGATTGCAAAATGCGACATATTTTGATGCTAAAAAGGTTGTGATATGGGTTATAGCTGGAATATTTTTCTAAAAAAAGCATGTAGGTAGTCACTGACTTTTTTCTCTTGTTAGAGAAATAGTATAAGCTGTTTAGTGCCTATTAAAAGTTGTCTCTTGTTATTTTGTCGATTTCGGCCTCCTTGATAAGATAAACGCAATTTTATTAATTTGCTTGAAAGTCTAACAGTAACCTTTAAAAAAATTAATATAATTAACTTGCGAAACTTTTAAATAAGTACTCATTGATTCCCTCGTTGATTCCTAGTCAAAAAATATGAAAAAAAGTTCCTATAAACATGGGTATGGAAATGCAGTTTTAAAATTACAGGATGTTAACCCAAGCAGCATTTGGACGTCGGGACAACGTTGTGTCACGCGACCAAACGTCGGGGCGCAACGTCGGCACAACCTCGTGCCAACCCTAGTCTGCAATAGTTTGGAGAATAATTTTTGGGTCGAAACGACGTTGGATACCTACGTTGGCTAGCAGCCTAATTTAGTACAAACTGCAACGTTGTTTAAAATCCTAATTCATAGAAATACAAAACTAATATGGCGTCTAAGTCGCGTTTCATCGTAAATTGGGATAATTATAGTAAAAATATTATTTTTATGATTTAGTTAGAGACATATGTCAGATGGCAGTGAAGGAAAACAAAACAAAAGTATTTAAGTGTGGAGGATGTTTGAAGATCATAATAATTGAAACACTTTAACCGACTCTGTAACTCGTTACCCGAGGCAAAAAAGTTAAACGCAAACAACTTTATTGATAAATGTATTGTTTCTACTTTGAAAAATACAAATGGGCCTTAAAATTAAAGAAGTTTTAAAAATTTTCTTGAATTTTTTTTTTAGTAAAATGAGAATAATTTATTCGCAGTCGAAAAAATTGTTTCCGCGTGTTTTTTAAGAACAAAACATTTTCTTATTTAACAACATGGCGGCTTTCACTTTGTTGTTTTGGAGATTAAGATGGAGTAGTTCGAGTATAGTCGCATACTGGACTAATAAAGTCACAGTTCGGCCTTAACAGGTAGTATACTAGTCGCAAGATTGCCTAATTTGGTAATACTAGAGTCTAGCTTGTGCCGCCCTCTATAATCTAAATAAACGAGGGAGTGGATAAACTATCGGTAATATATGTCGATGTATATTTAAATTTAGTTTTATATGTACCTTTCTTATGTCCCATTTTAATTAAGTTTTTTTATAAAATCAAAAACAGCACTGAACTGTCTGACTGAACAGAACAATGAAGTGAAAATTTAAGATTTAAGGTTATGGTTCAATAAAGTTGCAAAAATGTAGTGACTCGACGTCCTACCAACGTAAGAATAAGGAAATCTAAACAACGTTGGAATTAGTAAAACAGACGATGTTTGCATAACGTTGGAATAGGTCCTGAAACTGACGTCGGAAAACTCAATATTGTCCAACGTTGTAACTACGTTGTCCGTTAAGGTTAGAAGACAACGTTGTCCGTTAAAAAAGGTTAGAAGACAACGTTTATTCGACGTCGCAGAAGCTTCCTACTTTGCTGTAGTACTAGTCCAACGTCGGCACAACGTTATAAAAACGTTTAAATTTATTTTAATACCCAAGGTAGGGAGCTAACTATTTTTTGTAACTAATCCAACGTTGTGTTTAGTAAACATGTGGTCGCAAGTCGTGAAAATGCTACTTGGGAAATTTTCTTAAAATTAGATCTTTTGTAATTATCTTAAATTCCATTATCTTTTTATTTGAATTTTTTGCTCTGGGTTGGACTAAATAATGTTTAATAATAAATTACATAAACTAAATAGTTTATTAATTTTATTTTTAATTTAATTTTATTCATTGTGATTAATAAAATTGCGTTTATCTCATCAAGGAGATCCGAAATCGACAAAATATCAAGATACAACTTTTAATAGGCATTAAACGGCCTATACAATTTTGCTATCAAAAGAAAAAAAAAGGCAGTGGCGTACATGTTTTATTTTTCGAAAAATATTCCAGTGATAACCCATATGCACGTCCCTGATAAATTTATCGACACTTTTTAACATTAAAATATGTATGTAGTACTTATAGTAACTTTTACCCTCAAAATTTCATTCAAATAAGAACAGTAGTAGAAGAAATAAGTAAATTAGTGTTTTGTTTTGGTTTAATTATAAAATGTCAAAAAGTTCGTTACAAATTGATTTTTTTATTGGGTTTTCCTTTGAACGAGATGATTAGGGATGTGAACACTATGACAGACATTTTATAATTAAACCGAAAAATTAATTTACTATTATTTTAATTCCAATTTACCCCGAATTTCTATTTCCTGTTACTTCAGGGCGCAGAAAACGACCCCACCGCTACACCCCTAGACCTCGAGAACGTCGAGGGAATCTTCTACGTCACGATTTTCGGCACCATCCTCGGCATAGTTCTGGTCATCTTCGAGTTCATCGTCAACATTTTCCGTATCTGCCGCAAATTGCACATCTCCTTCCGCGAGGGACTCAAGAGAGAGATCATCTTCTTCTTCAAGTTCAACAGCAACGTGAAGCCGGTGCTGGACAACCGATCCGAAGAGGAAGAGGAGAAGTCTGAACCGAGATCAGAGTCCAATCGGTCCAAGTCGAAGTCAGAGAAGTCAAAATCGGTGAGGTCGCATGCTGAGAGTGAAGTGAGGCCGTACGGGTTCGTGATATCGTCGCCATCTTTGGATAGACTGACTGAATAGACTTACAAGACTTTTCATTTGAGTCAGTTCAGAATTTTTATTTATTACAAATAAGATGAACAATCCAGCAGAATTAAATGAAGCATAAGCAAGAATTCAAGACGTCAAATAGATCTTTTTGTCCGTTGATAAAGATTAAGACTTCATGAGGGTTTGAAGAGCTTCAGCATTTCCATTAAATAGCGAGCAATTTGTTACAAAACCATATAAATTATATATCACTGTAATCACAAAACTTCCATCTATTTCCGTATTGTCACGGAATTTTACATTATGTCTTTATTTTCGAGAAAATTTAGTCCAAACATAAGGAATATTTTGTTGATATTTCCTCATCAAAATCTTAAAGATAAAGTAGTTGTCTAAAAATGTGCTACAATACGGATATAGTACAAACCCTTATCTTTAATTTCCTTCTTCATTTGTGTAAAAATACCAAGCGAGTTTGACATAAAACGTTAAATGCCGAACGCTTATTTTGTTACTGTTTCGGACTAGTGAAATGGACTCTTAAGAACATCCTCATTTCTTTCTTCTCTTCCGTACGTGCCATGTTTCTTATTTTCATTTTGTTTTGTTATTACCAACATTGTATCACTACGTTTAAAATAACTACCTACCTAATATCAAAAATAAAATTGATAAACGCATTTTACTCAAAAATACGTTAAAAGCTGCTGAGTATGAAATGGTCAAATTCATTGTACTGCAAACAAAGCTAATGCGTTGTTTGTTTAAAAAAATTGTGTGTGCACTATGTGCGCATATTTGACGTGAAATTTTTTACTAACAGCTATTAAATTAAAGGAATTGAAGGACATGTTTGAAAAAGTGTAGTTTGAAACGTTGAAGTCTCCTTCCTCAACCCGGATTCATCCACTCCTGGATATAGGTCTCTCCTATCCTTTTCCATGTCTCCCTGTTTTGAGCTGTATTTAACCACCTTTACCTGTCACTTCCCTAATGTCGGCCATCCAACATTCGTGGACTTCGTTCCACACTTCTTTTAGTTTGTCTTGGCCTCCACACTGTTATTCTATGGGCCCATTTGTCTTTATCGAGTCTAGCAACATGGCCAGCCTTATATCGGTAACTCTTGTTTGCCTCCTGATGTTTTCATTAGGAATTTTGTCTCGTAGACAGACCCCTAGCATACATCGTTCCATAGCTCTTTTTGAAAAAGGAATAAATTAAAAATTAATAAATAATTTGATATTAAAATGACCGTCTGTCCGTCTGAGGACTCCATTCGGGTACCTCTATCCACGTACCGAGTTTGGTTCCAATCGACCCATAATTAAGAAAAATCACGATGATTTCGTCCATTTAGAGGCATCATCGGTTCGAAACGTCGAAGACGACCACATTTTTGTTTCAATGTCAAATCCTTAGTCCTACCCTGATGAAGATGTAAACAAAACGTTGTATCCAACTTTAGAGAGTGGGACCGTGTGCACCGTCGCTCACATAGCCTACCCACGAAATTTGGTCGCGATCGGACGACATCATCTTTTGACGTTTCTTACGTCAAAACTAACTGTCACAATGACACGTATCGTACACGGTCAAGTTGGCCCTGGTCCAATCTATTGACATACCAAATTTCATTTAAATCGTAAGATGTTTTCGCCATTGATGATGGGGTTTCATAGTGCACGAAATGTCGTCAAAATATCATGAAAAGATGGAGCTCTTCGAGTCCCATTTGTTTCACTTCAAAAATTGTGATAAAAACACTGTAAATTATTTTTTAAAAATTGTAAATATATCGAAGTAGCTTACATTTATTAATGAGCATTATCTATTTTATAGAATTATTGTTGATTTGTACCTAGATATAATACCAGATTCAAAATTATACTCTAAGTTATAATTTTCTTCTGTATTTTAATAGGTTATTGATAAATCCTAAATAATAGTTTTAAGATAGGCTCATATCTTAAAGAAAAATAGCTTAAGAAAGAGAACGTAAGTTATAGCTAATAGAATAAATAATAAAAATATACGTAATGTACTTTAAAAGAGTGTAACGCTTTTTTAGGTAGTAGAGCAAAATACCCATATTGAGTGTTTGTTTTATATTTTTTTCGGTCAAATAAAAATAAACGGTGCATCTAATTAATATGTCTATATTAAATTATGCTATATAACTTAAAAATTGATCTAAACAATACAAAACTTATTTGTATATAGGTTATTGAATACCCATACTTATGTTCCTTAAATTGTTTGTTAAATGTTGATTAATTTTAAATAGTGTAAATAATTTTGAAAATAAATAACTTGTTATTATACCCCAACGCTTTTTTTATTTTGAAAATATTTTAAACTTCTTTTACACAATGAACATGATTTTGATATACCTGCTTGAATATAATAAATTATACAACTTATACAGTTAAGAATCGAATCATTAGTGTTAAAACAACAAGATAAAATCCAAAAAATTGGTCAAGTGCGAGCCGAACTCGCGCACGACGATCTATACAACATTAAACACTATATTATATGTATTATTATTTTTTATTATAACTTTTATTCCGATTTAGCTGAAATTTTGAATGCGCGTATAAGTAATTTAAAAAAAAATGAAGAAACACATTGCTAAAAATTGTATTAATCAATAATAAATATGTAGAAAGTAAAAACAAATATGTAAAAATACGTAAAAATTAAAAAAAAACGATTAAAAAAAGTCGCCTTGATTAGGATTCGAACCTGCCTTACTACGGCTTCAACGTCATAGTAGCGTAAAGTCCAAACGCTTTAACCACGCGGCCACCGAGGGCTTGAAAGATTCTATGTAAAATTCTTACTTAAAAGATAATGTTTAGTGAAAGTACTTTTTTATTTATAAACATTTATTTAATTCTGTTTTTAGTATATAGATACATTATCTGTAAAAATTTCAACTGTCTAGCTATAACGGTTCATAAGATAGACCACAGATAGACCTTTGTGACAGACGGACGGACGGACAGCGAAGTCTTAGTAATAAGGTTCCCGTTTTTTACCCTTTGAGTACGGAACCCTAAAAACGAAAGATAATAAGACAAAAAACGCAACGAAAGAACATAAAGAAAAAACCAAACCAAACATAAGATTTAACAAAAATTTAAGGGTGTATTTTTTCGACAAAAAAGTATTATACCGAAGTTATATAATATTAGCAGCACGTAAAAATATATTTTAATAATGATACAATGTCCTGATATCTACACACTAAAATAATTCATTTAAATTTAAATTTCTAATTATATATTAGCACATTATAGACATAAACAATATATGTAGAAAGCGCGTATATTACAGCATAAATTTATTTTTTAAGGTCATCCGAGATAGCAACATCCATATTTATATACTATGTATTTTTCTTGATAATTACAGCCAAACAATATACAAAAGTCAAAACAAATAAATACCGCGGGATTTTACGCTATTTGTGTATGAAAACATGTTACACTGACAAAAGCATTTAGTAGGTATTGCAAATTGCAACCATGAAACAAGTGTTGATTATTGTGTGTATCGTAACATTAAGTTACTGCGATTTAGGTAAGTTGTTTTAATAATTATATTTATGATATCATTACCAAAAAAGGGATAAATAATATTTATACCTTTGTAGCGGGTACAATTATTATTTATAACAAACAAAAATGTGATATACAAAATACCATGTGAATATGAGAAATTTTATATGGGTGAAACATATAGACTTTTAAACGTTCGAATTAAACAATATAAAGATTATCTATAAAAAAAGGTGATTTCGCAAATATATCTAAGATTTGTCAGCATTCATGGGACACAGGACATATATAGTCTGTGAAACGAATAACTTTGAATTTGACAGTTCCCACCATAAAATAATAAATACAAGAAGAAGTGTCAAGTCAATGTTAAATTATGGAAACAGCGTGGCTGCCTGGGTAACTAATTTTCAGATATGGCGGCTGGGACATTTGACATGACATAGACATGACAATTTCAATTTTATGAAATTTATTTCCGTTTCCGGTTTTTAATGGCGGGCTGTTCAGGAGGTTTAAATGAGGGTTAATATACTTTTTACTCTTTCTAGTAGTAAATAATACAACAAAATTACTCAAAAATATTTATTTGGAATTTAGAACAATGTAAATATGCAAATCAACACAATTAAAGAGCTATAAACCAATAAACTACTGTATCAATATTAAATATTTAAATAATATCAGAGATGCTGTGTTAAAGCGAATTAGTAAAGTAACAGTGCATTGACTTACAGAAACTTGAAGATAAATAAATGTTTTCACAGCTTCACGGATAAATAACTGGAAGCAGGAAAAAGGCAACCGGAACCCACACAAAACCTGGAATCAAAAAAAATATGTAAAAAATATAAATATAGGTACCTACATAAGACTTTTGTGAATTAAATCAAACAGGACTTGAATGAAAATAAAATGAATAAAAAATATGATACATATACATCTAATACCTCATTTGTATTTTAAAAATAATCTACATACATAGATTTATAGCATTATTGCTATGAAAATACATAATAGGTACCTATGTGATATGTAATTACGCATTTCTGTTCATCTTGTAGAAATTTAACGTAGGCTAATAATAGTTCAATAATCATAATTTACCTTGTATAACTTGCTTTCAATTGCTCAAAATCACCGATCAGTCTTTAAAGTAGAGATACGGAAAAATCCTTGAAAGAATATCCCAAGATCCTTGGGTTTAAAGCTAAAAAAATATAAAAACAGTTAATATATTACCTATTTTTACCTATAATATGGCCCATACCTGCTACACGCCGAAACGTCGATTTCATCATTTTCTTCATGTAATTAATATCATATATACTTTATTAAAGTGTTAACAAGGAACTTTATATCAAAAAACATCTTTGTACTTATAAATTTCAGCCGAAATATCAGAAACAAACTTCCAATCAAATCTAAACGGCAAAAATTAAAATGGCGCCCGACCTTGCCAGAGGCCTCGGGGGCTGACGCTGACACACAGACAAAAGACAAAAGAACAGGACGCCGACGTGCATAAAAATGTTCCGTAGCAGAAATTGACAGGAATCATATAGAAATATTCAGATTTTTGTCTAGGACAGTCTAGAAGGCCATGCTTTCTGCCTGGGTAGAACCGCGCCACAACTGTTTCCAATTTTCCGGTTTACTGTCACCTCCCTGGTTCCCACGGGCTTTTCTAGTGTTAATTTTATTACGTTAGCAACTTGCGACCATGCTGACGCAATGCCGTCTCTAATAGAACAGCCTCTGAGCGAGATTTATGACGTCACGCTAACATAACTATTCCTTATATTTGACTATGGCTGAAATCGTACTCCATAGTCAATGTAGATAGTTTTAGTGTTAAGAATAATAATTTTAAAAAATATGTGGTCATCTTTTGACAAGTTTATATTAGTTTATTAATTGCAGTAAACATTATGTGGTTTGGTTTGGTGTGAATATTTTATATGCAATTTTTTGGATTATATTCGACACTATATTTTTATATGACACAACACTGATGAAGGCTATAATGTTAGCCGAAAAGTTTTTTTTAAACCAAAAAAATAATGAAAAACCTAATAAAAACTTAATCAGCGTTTTTCGCGAACCTAAATCCCAAGAAAATCAAAAATTTTAGAATAATTTTACATTATAAAATGACAGCGATCTTTATTTCATAGCCATCGCTGACGCATTTTTTTCTATGATATTGTATTATTTGCAAATATAATTTTTAATGATACTTGCAAAATATATGTACATATAAATTTTGTGAATGCAAATAATAATACATCACTATTAGTATATATTGAATGTTTTTTGTTAAATTAGATCGATTTTCAAGCCCCAAAATTTAAAATATATTTTACATTTTACACATTATCTTATATACCTATTCATTATATGTATATTGTAAAACATTTGCTGCATTTGTATGGTTCATAGTTTATTTGCCAAAGTATTTATTACTATAAATAGGTATATATTATATTTATTAACTGTATATTATGTATATTTCATGTAAACTATATCATTTTTAAAATACATACATGTTTTCCATGTATTCTACAATATATTTGTTAATCCGTATCTAATTAGCGTGACGTCATAAATCTTGCTCCGAGGCTGTTCTATTACAGACGGCATTTATCTCTGATATTTAGAAATGTCAAAAGCTGATGACATTTTACTTTTGACAATTATGCCATTTCGTGTTGATTTTTGCAAGAAGAGGAAGAACTGTCACTTGTTTTATTATTTTCCTTTTCTATTTCACGTAAGTAAAAAGAGTTACCTATCTCATTCGTTCAGGCACTCATTTTAAAGAATATCAGTAACTTTTTTGACAGAGGGATTTTATATTTGCCATGTTGGTAAAAAATAACGGTCAAAATTCAAAGTTATTCATTTTATAGACTATAGTAGACTTTAACAGTGCAAAAATTATAATGAAAAAACCGATAGCTTCTAATGGAAAAATAAAAGAGACTTTTTAATCCAATCAAATATAAATCAATTTATTGATCAGGTATCTGTAGATGTTAGTGATGTATTATTGCTATCTATATCTTTTATGTTTTTTATAAAAAAACATAAATTTCTAATAAACCTTAACTTATATTCTTAATCATTAACCAATTAGACGATATCAAGAAATATTCGTTATTTTCTTTCATATTAATAAAAAAACTCTTTCCAGAATCAAATTTCTATAGAGAAGAACCATGTGCATCTAAAAAGGGATACTGCGTTCTGGAAAAAGAATGCCCTGGACCTTTAACAGCCGATGTAAAGAACAAATGTCCCCAACAACACAAGGAAGGAGCAGTTTGTTGTACCTCAAGTAAGTAAAGATTTATACAGCAGAATATTTAATAAGAAAATAACTATGCATAGTGATGAGCAAATGCAAGACCAAGACTTAATAAGTAGTCGTTTTGGAGTTGGTCTTGCAGGGTCTAGTCTTCGTCTAACTGCAAGACTCTTGCAAGTTTTGCATTTTTTTAATAGATTTTTACTACAGGCGCTGTCTATATAGAAAATGTTTAATTAAATAGTATTTTTAGTAATTTAATACAAATAAAACTTATAATATGGGTAAATAAATTAGTAGAATATACCGGGGGCGTCTCAAAAGTGGCTCACATAACTCATAACTTTTTTATTTTTTAGTTAAAAAAAACGAGATTTGGTATGTTAGTATATGACATAAATTAGGATTGATTGACGTATCCAATTGTTTTTTCACTTCCTTCACCCCTCGGTATTTTTTTACTCATTCGATAGAAAATGACACTCTGAATAGAACGACATATCATATGTCAACTTTTGACATTTTCGCATACGGTTTATTTGAAATTATAACTTGCGGTTCGTAACGAAAATTTGACTCGAAATACCAAGTGTGTGGTATCAAATTATTCGTAAAAAAATGCTTTTTCCGTTCCATTTGAAAAAATTGAGATACTATGATTAAAAATACGATTTGGGCATTTTCTAACTGGCCAGGACAAGACACCAAAAACATTAGACAATCAAATCTATTTTTCCAAGGCTCCTTAATTAAGAATTAGTGATTTTAACATAGCCATGGCACTCTAGATTGAATCTTAAAATACGATTTTTTATAAAGCGAGTATGTCAAAAGTTGACACATGATATGTCATTTCATTCAGAATGTCATTTTCTATCGAATAAATTAAAAAAATACCGAGGGTGCCGAAAAATACCGAAAGTTGTAGTCATTTCCGGTTAAACAGGAAGTGACGACAAACAAATGAATACGTCAATCAATCCTAATTTATGTCATATACTAACATACCAAATCCCGTTTTTTATCTGAAAAAATAAAAAGTTATAGGGGTGAGCCACTTTTGAGACGCACCCGGAATGTCTGACGAAAATGCAATTTTTAATATAATATATAGAATAACCATTTGTTTCTTTAAAAATTTATGTAATAGTCAAGAAAACACTATTTGTAATAAATAAATAAAAACATTTTGAACAAATAAGTACAAAAAATACTAAATACATATAAAAGTGTAAAAAATGCAAGACCCCAAGAATCTTGCATGCTTGGTCTTAATCTTGTATCTCAAACGCCAGTCTTGTTCTTTCTCTTTGTGCCAGACCAAGACTATAAGACACTCGAAGAAATTTCCCAGGACTTACGACCAAGAAAAATCTAAGATTTTTCTTGATATTTCCCCCCTCCCATACAATCTATAAGATCAAAACCAAGACCCAGTCGTGCTCATCACTAACTATGTACTATTTAATGTTATATAATATTCTTAATAACGTAACTCAAAATAGTTTATTATAAATAACATACTATGGAGAGTATTCAGATAATAGATATAATAAAATAAAAAGTAAGAGAGAGAGAGAGAGAGAGAGTACTTATTTTGTATATTTTTTCAGTACCACAAGACCAACTCAATTGCCGACAGTTACACAACGAATGTCAAAGTACTTGTCCACCAAATTTATCATTGGGTAGAAAAGGATGTCCCGTAGACACTCAATGTTGTGTCTTAGTATAATAAAAATACAAATAATAAACAAAAATCTGTACTAATATAAAAATCCTTAAGTGACTGATATACTGATTAATTACGATCCTGCTCAAACCACTCAACGTAAGAAGCTCGATTTTGGCATACAGGTTGATTCTAGGATGTAGAGGTTCGATAAGAAGGGATTTTTCGAAATTCTAGTTCCAAGAGGGTGAAACCACCCCTCAAATATTACAATATTTTTTATTTAAAAAACGGTAAAGTTTCCGAAAAATGCTACATTACCTTTATATTTATAAATTTCAGGCGAAAAACTATGAAATTGAATTTACAAAACAAAACTAAACGGAGATTAAAATGGCGTCGAAATTTATTCAGGGTGTTCTAGAACAAATCTGTCAATTCTAAACTGTGAAGTTAGACAATAGTTAGACAGAAACATTGTTGTCCTTGTCTAGGAAAACATACTTGTCGTCTTTAGATGACAGGAATGACACTAATGACTTTTCGAATTTCCTATTTCACTGTCACCCCCCTGGGTGAAACCACCCCTCAAATGTTACAATATTTGTAATTTAAAAAACGGTTAGTCTTTCGGGAAAACGCTTGGACAAGCATAATTTATTTGGTTTTTTACATATTTTGAAATTTTTTAAAAAATCATACAGGGTGTTCCAAAAAGTTGGGTAATTTCTTAACCACGATTCTGCTTAAACTGCTTGACGTAAAAAGCTTATTTTTGGCAAACGGATTTCTCGAAAGTCTCGAAAAACTACCCCTCAAATATTACCAAGTTATATAATTATATCGCCGTAATGTTTTTTTCTCATGCTGACATAAATGTGAGAAAATTTTATCCAGTTTGTATGTTAATGGAAATTCTTGCTTTGCTTTATCCGCACCATTACAAATGATTAATTCGACGCGAACGAAGTCGTTGGTACACGCTAGTAATCTTATAAGTATATTATTAACTTATTTTTTAACTTTTTTAGTGATCAGAAAAATATATCATGCAAATACTGAGTACTAAAGATCTCTTCTTTTTTATGTGCCCTGCCCGGTTCTCCGAACGTTGGCGATCACTGCAGAGAGCGCAACTCTATCTTCTGCCAGTCTGAAAAGCTCACCAGCCCCAGACACTCCCGTCCACTGTCTGATATTCCTCAGCCATGACATCTGCCTTCTGCCGACTCCTCGTTTGCCCTCTATTTTTCCTTTTAGAATAAGTTGTAAGAGATGATACTTTTCTCCCCGCAACACATGTCCTAGGTAGGAAATCTTGCGACATTTTATCGTTGTTAGCAGCTGTCGTTCTGTTCTTGCTCGCCGAAGGACTTCTTCGTTGGTCAGCATATCGGTCCAGGAGACTCGCAGCATTCTTCGATGAATCCACATCTCCAATGCCTCCAGTCTATTAAGCATGACAGCTTTCAAAGTCCAGCTCTCAACTCCATAGAGAAGGACGGACCAAACGTAACACCTGACCATACGTTGTCGCAGTTTGAGATTTAGGTCTTTGTTGCAGAATAGGGATCTCATCCTTTTAAACGTTGTTCTTGCTATTTCAATACGGGATTTGATTTCAATGTCGGGTTCCAGGCTCTCCGTGATTATGCTGCCCAGATACTTAAACTGATTTACTCGTTCAATCGCGGAACCGTTGAGGCTGAGTTGTGCATTTACATGTCGTTCTCTGCTGAACACCATAAATTTCGTCTTGCTGGTGTTTATGTTTAGTCCCAGATCTACTCCAGTTGAGCTTATTTTATCAATCAGATGTTGGAGCCCCTCCATACTATCGCAGATAATCAGAGTGTCATCTGCATATCTAATTGTATTCAAGAGAACACCGTTAACTTTTATTCCATGTTCGGTGCCCTCCAAGGCCTCTTTAAATATTTTATCCGAATATAGGTTGAATAAGAGGGGCGAGAGGACACAACCCTGGCGAACTCCTCTCTGGATTTCTAAGCTAGAAGTTTTTATTGATCCAGTACGAACCTCAGCTGTTTGACCCCAATAGAGGTTTTCAATCAATCTGATATCTTTGCTGTCTAGTTGGATTTGTCGCAGTATTTCCATTAGCTTTGAGTGGCGCACCCTGTCGAAGGCTTTTTCATAATCAATAAAGCATGCGAAGACATCTTTCCGTTGGTCGCGACATTTTTGAAGTAGGACATTGGCTCCAAAAAGGGCCTCTCGTGTTCCAAACGCATTTCTGAATCCCATCTGGGCGTCGTCCATATCGAATTCGCACTTCCGTCGTATCCTGGCATGAATAATACGTAGAAAGGTCTTCAGTAGGTGGCTCATGAGGCTAATTAGTCGATAGTCGCCGCATTTTTTAGGACGAGTTTTTTTAGGGATTGTCACAAATGTTGAGTTTAGCCAGTCTTTTGGTATCACTCCGGTGTTATATATTGTGTTAAATAAGTTTGTGATTAGTCCTATGTTGTTCCCCTCAATAAGCTTTAAGACCTCTATTGGAATCCCGTCGGGACCAGGAGCCCTTCTGGTCTGCGCCGTTGAAATAGCATGGATCACCTCCGCCTGGAGTATTTCTGGTCCGTCAACAATATCCTGGGCGTCGGGCAGGGGTGGTCTCTCGTCCCTGAAAAGATCATCTATATATTGCTCCCAGGTGGCTTTTACTTCATCTTCCTTAATGATAGGCTGATCTAATCCATCAAAAAGTGACAAGGAATGTTGTTTCCTGTTGATTCCAGCTATCTCTTTAATTTTTTTGTGCATTTGGTGGGTGTTGTGTCTGCTTTCAAGATCTTCCATTTCTCTGCATTTATCCCTCATCCAGCGTTCTTTTGCCTTCTTAATTTCTGCTTTTATGGTCCTGTTCATTTGGTTATATTCCTCCTTGTTATTCTTAACCAATCTTCGTCTCTCCATCAGGTTCAATATGTCATCAGTCATCCACCTGCTCTTCTTGAGTCTTTTGGCTGGTTGTAAGTTTTTGGAACATACCCCGGTAAGAATACACTTTAGCTCCTCCCAAAGGGGTTGCACTTGTGGGCAATTTTTGTGTGCCACTTTGGCCAATTCGCTGTTGAGTTCTTGTCGCAAGTGCTCTCTTACTCGTGGATCCTCTAATTTTGACATATCTAACAGGTTGTCTTTTGGATTACTTTTAGTAACCTTTAACTTTAACTTGAGGTTCGCCACCAACGGGACATGATCGGATTCCGCGTCAGATCCTGGGTAGGTTGTGACACTTTTTATACAGTTTCTAAAGCGTTTATTGATGAGAATATAATCGATTTGGTTTCTTACAGGTTCCTGAGTGTCACTTTCAGCGGGTGATATCCATGTGTAAAGACGCCTTTTAGGAAGTTTAAACCGTAAAGTACTAAAGATAGAGAGTGTTTTTTAGGTACATTTTCAACCAATATTTTGGCAAAAATCTTGCGCGCCACTGTTTTTTTTTTAATTTTTTGTATATTTTTCGAATTAACGAAAAATTCTACATTCTTCCTTTTTGAGCAATTGTTATAAAAAACTGTAAAACTTAAAAATTTCCTAAAATTTATGGAGAGAAAAATATATCACAAAAAAGGTACAAAAATTCAAATAATCAAATAAATATATATATAAATTCATCACACAGTAGATAAATTAAACCTACTTTGAAAATATATAAATATATTTTCAAATAGAAAGTTTAATTAATAAACAACACATGTTATCTGTGATTTAAGTCACCTCAAATTATGTCTTACCGTTTTCACACCCTGTATAGATGAATTATTGACGTAATGATACTCATTCCCCTTACTTCAAGGTGAAGATAAATAAAAATAATACTTCTTTACAAAACATTCTATTTATTATTTTAATGACTAATACAATAATTCATACTGAAAGAATAATAACATTAAAAGTCTTTTTGCATAGTAACATTAAAAAGTGTTTGAACTGTGGTTGATCTTACAATAATGTATAAATCAAACTAGTATTTGATTTATATATTCAAAAAGGTTTTTAAAACTAGTAAAATTGTTCGTTTTTGCACATTAACTGGTGCACACACACAAATGCTAGAATTATATATTTATTGGTCTTTTTTATTTTTGACTAAATTGGAACAAATGGAATATAAAGAAGGTATATAACTGATTGCGAAATAGACTGCACCTAGATATGTCGTTATTGCTAGCGTTAAGATGAGATCGAATACCGCAGGTTTTACTCTGAAAAATAAAAGCAAGCGCATTACTAAGAATTTTCAATAAATCGTATTAGGTATTATTTTCACAGATATACACTCACCAGCACGACAAACAGGCACCTTAGACCTTGTAATTTAAATTTCAATATATTTTATTCAAATGGGCCGCTAAATTATTTTACTTTTTATTAACATTTTCTAAATTAAAAATGAAAGTTTCCATCTGTCAATTATACGAGGGACAACAAAATGTTGATATTTTGATGAAAGTTTGAAACACTCTTTGGAATATGTTAATAAAGCAAGGAATTTAAAAATCATTTTATAATCTAGGTACCAGATCTAGGATCAGATTTCAATTTTGTTGGTTTGACGGAACGATGAACGATAAACGGACGCCGATCCGTATAAACTCGTATTTAGATTTTTGAGCTTTGTCAAAGTCTTGGCAAATTACAGGTTATAATTTTGTGTCAACTTATGTCCAATATCCTGCGTTTTGGAAGATGATGCGTTTTAATTCGTATTATTACGTGTGTTTCGTGTCTTTTGAAGTCAAGTGGAGGAAAAATCGAGGGAAAATTAGCTGTAGATCCAGAGCTCAGTTTAGAGTAAATATTCGGTGCCAAGGCAGAAAGACTTATACACCAATAAAGTTACAATTAATAAAGTTTGTATACCATCTCGTCATAGATAACTGCATCTCGTATATGGTACAAGGATCGTACTAAACATATACTAAAAACTGGAGTAGCTGTAAAATATCGACATCACACGATAGGTAAATAATGGATTTTAGTCTCTGATTTTAGTACTGCAGAAAAATAATGTCAAAGGTACTGGTTTAAAAAAAATAAGATTAAAGTTAATTAAACAACCTTTAAGGTATAAAATTTGGTAAATGTTATTATTAATAAAATAGTTTGTTTTATTTAAGTGTTGTTTTATTTATTCCTAATAATAATAATAAACTCTTTATTTATAGCACCTGGCTAGTATAAAATAATACAAATTAATAACAAAATTATGACAAATGTTCTTATCACATAAACCATATTAAAATAATTAAAGTCCATACCTCTCACAGCGCAATTGTTTGTTTAACATATTCAATACATTTTCTTTTAAATTGAGACAATGTTCCACATGTTTTTATAGCTGGCAGCTCATTATACTGCTTTATACATTTATAATATAAACTATTTTGACTATAATTGGTGTTTGACATATTTAAATAAAAATTGTTCCTAGTCCTTGTATTATGATTGTGGATGTCCCTAACAAACGTACAATTATTAAGATGTTTGGGTAATAAATTATTTAACATTTTGTATATAAACACTATTGTATTATGTGTTACTGTTTGTCTTACACTTAACAAATTTGTACTTTTTAACATATCCAGACTACTGGTAAATTTATTACATCCTATGATTGTTCGAAGGGCTTTGTTTTGCTTTTTTTGCAGTACATCAATTTCAGAATTATTCATTAAAAACAAAAGTGTTGAACAAAAATAGAGATGCGGTGCTATGATGGTTTTATATGCTGTCAGCCTTGCCCACATACTCAGCTCTTTTGAGACCCTAGCCAGTACATTTGTTTTTTTAGCTATCTTATTTGTTATATATTTATAATGTTCTGAGAAAGTCAAATTATTATCTATTATACAGCCCAGGTATTTGATTTGTGATCCAGTATCAATGTTAACATTATCTATTTGTAAAGCCCTACTGCCCAATAGTGGGCTTTTATTATTCTTATGTCTAATAATCATTGCTTTCGTTTTATCTATGTTAACTATTCCTGTGGAATATTACAAATTTGTACTTGTATATAAAATATTGATAAATATAACAATAAATGCGTGAAGTTCCTTGAAGCTCGAAAGTAAGAAATAGTTCTTTTTTATATTTTTTTGTTATGTGGTTTTTTGTTCTTGTTTGTTTTGGATTAACACATACCGTTTTTTTAATAAAATAATTCGATTACATTTTTTCAGTTTTATACAGTTTTTCTTTTCACAAAATTTTGAAGTAATTACTTGTCAGTCAAATTTTAAATACAGTAGAACTCCGATTATCCGAGTCGCAATTATCCGAGCTCCGGATTAACCGATCCAATCTAAAGACCCTGATTATCCGAGGTCGCGCGTCTATGCTCTGTATTAACCGAGCTTCTAAAATATGCTATATGTATATTTACATATTTCCGTTTAAAATCGTTGGGACCGACGGGGAATCCCCTTGGCCCGTGTAAGTGGTTCCCCTTATTTATATTTTTGGACTCTTTTAGCATGTAAATTTGAGTAAATGCAGTTATCTGGGTGGAATTCTAGTTAAGTGTATACCAACTGCTTTGTTTTAATTTTCGTTTGCCGTATTATAATGGAACGAAACAAACGTAAAAGAATTGTTGTTCCTATTGAAGAAAAATTAAAAGCCATTAGGAGAATTCAAGCAGGAGAGACAATTAAAATTGTTGCACGAGATTATGGAGTAGGTGAGGTAACAGTTGCAGATTGGAACAGAAACAGCACTAAAATAGAAGAATGGTGTATAAAACAAGCCTCTTCGTCTTCAAGAAGAAAATTAATGAAAAAAGGCGACTATGAAAAAGTTAACGAAGCTTTATTTACGTGGTTTACTCAGCAAAGATCAAAAGGTGTGCCTCTGTCAGGTCCCATTTTGCAGCAGAAAGCAATAATGATTAGTAAACAATTTCCAGAGACAGCTCTGGATGGCTTGACCGCTGGAAAAACGGTAAGGTGTACGACAACTGACTATATGTGGAGAAAAACTTTCTGCTGATGTGTTATCAATTGAAAAATTTAAACAGGACTTTAAAAAGCTAATCAAACATTGTGGGTATACATGTGATCAAATTTATAACTGTGACGAAAGTGGTTTCAATTATAAAATGCTTCCATCAAAAACATCGGCATCTCGACAGGAAAAATCAGCTCCTGGGCACAAAAGAAGTAAGGAAAGATTAACCATAATGGCATGTTCCAATGCATCTGGTAATCACAAAATTCCACTTATGGTGATTGGCAAGTCTGCACATCCAGGAGCGTTAAAAGACATCTCACCCAAAGCCCTAACAGTTTATTACAAAAGTCAGAAGAGTGCATCGATGGATGCGACGTTATTTACTAACTGGTTTAAAGAAGAGTTCGTGCCATCTGTGACTAAATTTTTAAAGAGAACCAGCCTCCCTATTTAAGCAATTTTGTTAATGGACAATGCTCCCTCTCACGCTGGAGAAGGACTCCACGTGGGCGAAATTGTAAAATTTTTTCCTCCAAATGTAACCAGTATAATGCAACCAATGGACCAGGGCGTCCTCGAAAAAATAAAAAAATATATAGGCGTTTATATCTTGAACATCTACTAGAATGCACAGAAAAAAAAAGAGGATATTATCACTGGGATAAGGAAGATTACACTAAAAAATGTTATTTACTGGGTAAGCCAAGCTTAGGATTCGTACGCGGTTCCACTATTCAAAAATCTTGGTCGAAAGTTATTGATCTTGAGGACTATAATGACAGTGAAGATGATATTCCATTAAATGAATTGGCTTTGAAATGGAAAAGCTGTGGAGAAATGTCCTGTATATAATTTAAACGAGAGAGGAGAAGAAGAAAGTTTATTAGAATTAATGCAAAACTTGAAAGGTTGCGAAAATGTGACAAGACAAGACGTTGATGAATGGGTTACAGCAGATGATTTAGAAGAAGAAATGATTATTGAAGAAATAGCGAACGCCTTTCGCGAAACCTAAAAATCAGATGACGATAACTATGAAGAAGAGGTGGATGAACAGCCTTCCACTAAGATTACCCATCAAGAAGGTTTTTCTTCTCTGGAAACAGCTCTGAGGTATATCGAACAACAATCAAAGGCAACCCCAACGGATTTGCTTCTTCTTAACAGATGGAGAAACATGGCAGCGAGAAAAAGAAGATGCAATATGAAACAGCAGCGCATAGATACTTATTTCACTGTTTTATAATGTAGATAGTATCTACATATGTAGGTACTTATGTATTTACATGTTAAAAATGTTAATAAACCGTTTAAAGTATGTATTGGTGCTTATTTTTTAATAAATCCGGATTATCCGAGTTTTCAGTTATCCGAGGAGGATGTCCCCCACGTTACCTCGGATAACCGGGGTTTTACTGTATATTAATTTCCTGCTATGCGTTCCAATTGTACCAACCTATTTCTTTGTAAAATAAAATAAATTATTTTGAAATTAAAATGACAAACACATCTATCACTGTCAAGGATCTTGTCGTTGGACGGACTATATTATTGTTTATTGATGTTTACTCTGGTAGAGATGGTTTTAAGTTCTGAACAATCGGCTATTATTGCTTTAATTGGTCATGGTAGAGTTCGACTATTGGACCTAAAACCCCATATCTGCTAGAGTAACTGCACAATAAACAATAATATATGATTTTTCAAAGACATTGGCATTACATAAATCATAACCACTATTTTGTAGGTCTGTTGACTAGGACCAAAAGCAAAGGCATGGTTGTAATGTAAAAAATACGAAAACATGTTAGTGTCTTCTTCAAAAGGGAATATTTTCAAAAAAAAATAAAGCTATTGAGATCAATCAAAAACAAACTATCAAGAAAAGATACACCTAGATGATAAATTGATTTTTAAATTCCTTGTTTTGCCAATATACTCCACAGGGTGTTTCAAACTTCCACCAAAATATCAATATTTTGTTTTCCCTTGTATAATTGACAGATGGTAACTTGCGTTTTTAATTTAGAAAAAGACACTAGAAAGTCAAATGATGCAGCTACAAATTGCTTAAAAAATCATCAAAATTGGAACAAGCAAAAATCTTTATGACAAATACATTTTTCTTAAAATGACAATAATAAAGTTTTTTTCTCTTGTCAAAACAATCCAGGGACATACTGTATATTATATTATTATTTTTCTAAACTTACCTGTATATATTCATTGTTGCTTGTGTACTACCATAAAACTGGTAGTCTGGGTCCCTTTTGTCTGCGACAGCGTAAGTAACTTTGACCTCCTGTAAGTATTTGTTCAAATAATGTTGTAATGACGATACAAAACCATTATCTTTGTTAGTGAGTAACTGTGCTGATCTTGGCTGATTCGAGATGCTTTTCAACCAGTTCTCCACATTCGCTTTACTAACATCCTGAAAATTAAAATTATTTTAATAAAAAAATCTAGAATTGTTGAAAAAAAAATCTTACTAAGTTTCCATTAAAACTATCTCCTTCCGAAAGATTAAAAACAAACTTTCCTACAGTCTCAACAACGATTTGAGCATTCTGTATCAATCGCTCTGTTTTCAGGTTGTCTCTATTATCGTGAACGGTAAATCTCCATGGATCTTTAGGATGTTTTATTGCTGATAAAGTAAACGCTGGTAACCTAAAAGTAAGGTTAAAATATTTTACACAAAATTACAAAAAAAATTATGTACATATATTAGGGTGTCGGTTATTTCCCAAGTTGATTTCTTTTTGTTGCCGTCCTATGAAATTTTAGTTTTTGCTCTAAAAAAATTATCCAACGTAAACAAGCTCTTAATTTTTAATTTAAACCGTGCCGGAATCATGATGATACTTTTCCCATTTAAATAACATGGGATTTTCTGACATTTTGCATTTAATTTTTATCTCCAAAGCAAATGAACCTACAGCTTCGACAAAGACCGACATATTCTAATACAAATTTTACGATCTACAAAAAAGTCTCTTTGGTTTTTTCCATAAAAACATTCCTTCCATAAAAGTTATTCGTGGTCAAAATTATGCACATAGTTTATAATCAAATTTTTCATTCACATCATTCACCGCAAATTCTAATTGCGCCTTTTGACTTTGACTAAAAAGGGATATATATTAATATGGCAAACTAATGTTGCGCCATCTATGATAAATTGATCAAAACTATAAGTTAAGGTTATTGTTTCATTGCCTTTCAGTGTTCGTCTCACCCTTTGAATAAGAAGACTAAGGAAGGAGCATATCAAAAATCTTAGGTACACCGCGATGGGCCTCAAATATGGCCGACTTAAATTCCGGTTTATCAGTGTCGTTCTAATTTTATTTAAAAAATGTAAAACTATGATGTAGGGTAGACGTGGGGTAGACTCAATAATTTGTTGTTTTATTTTACGTTTTGAATAAATGTTGGTAGTTATTAAAATTGTTATAAAAATATATAATTCTAATAAAAATAGATAAGTTATAATAAGTATTTATTAACACAAACATCCGATACGCTACTGAAGCAGGTAAGTCAAATTAACGTATCTAAATTCTTTGACATCTAATCTTTGACAAGTAATAAATAAAAACTAAAATGCAAGAAAAAATATATAATTTAGTTAATTTAAGTGAATTTCATAAATGATCGGTTTACTACACGTATGTATATTATATAGTCACTTACTAGCGAAAAGTTGTTCCATTATTACACTCAATTTTTGCCGAGATCTACCGCACGCTACACAACCAACTATTTTAGAGTCTTTTTCGATAAATCGCGATAGTGCCACTGTTAATTTAAGTTCTGCCACAATTTCCATCTAGATTTACTACCTTTATACAACTATCAGTAGTAGAATAAATAATAAATAACATAAAATAAGCTCCGTAAAGACTGACAAATCCACAAAATTTCAAATCAAATTCAAATGTGTCAAATGAATCGTCAAACAGAACTGTCAAGGATCCCCACCCTAGAGAGCTTTTTCCGCCCACCATGCATGAATACATGGATAGCATTATGCTCCTTCCTTAGTCTTCTTATTCAAAGGTCTCACCAGCCAATATGTCTCACCAGCTTTGCCGCTATTGCTGGACAAGTGAAAATGGCGGTGCTGCCAAAGGATTTCCGAGAGGTTGCTCTGACCACCGCACCGACTAACAAACGTCTCTAGAAGACGCTATACTGGACGAAGTAGTGGCAATCAGATCGCAACACAACGATCTACAAAATGTGGGTCAGCTACGTTTTGCGGGGATACAGTTTCGGGTGGGCATGATCCTCATAGATTGTGTATCTCAAGAATCGGCGAATTGGTTGGTGGAAATCGCACCTAAGCTTAACAATTGACAGGGGCCGGAACTGGTTGCAGTAAAGGGAGAAAACATCCCTAAAGGGCCTGCCATCACGGTCTTTCTGCCGAGGAGCAAGGGGAAAGACGCCACCTATCTGCTGAGCCTTATCCAGGGTCAGAACTTCAATGTAAGGACATCGAGTTGGCGAGTCATCAACTCGAGGGAGGAGGGTCATGATCAGGTCCTCATAATAGAAATTGACCTGAAATCGAAGGAGGCAATAGAGAAAGAGGGACATATCCTCTATTATAGATACGGGACAACACCGGTATCAGGTCTAAGAAGAGACCAAGTTAAAGAGGTGGAGAAAATGGAGATAGATCCAGCCTCCACCTCACGGGTTCCTCAGCCGGAGGCAAGCTCCTCGACTGTGAAGGGCGGCACGGAGGGCCAAACTCCAACCGTGGAAGGGTGTGTACCATAGATTTAGTAAGAACAAATATCACATTAGACATTTTAACCCGATCCAACAATCGGAGGTTGACTACGTACTGTAAAAACCAACTGAGATAGAGAAGGCGACATTGCCGCATCTCAAATTTGCGCCTATCTACTCAGTTTGATTTGCAGAAAAAGGTGACTTTAAAACCTTTACCGGATATCAATAAATCTCAATTTCTTAATTAAATTAATAGTATATTTTTAAAGAAGCATGCGTAATAATATGGTTATTAACCAGAGGATATATGCGTTACTATTAAAGGACATGTTTACTGTTTAATGTGCTGAAACGTCTAGAACTATTGGCAACGTCTGCTGCTAGTCTTCCAGAATGAAATGAGCCGTCCGTCCCACCACCCCTCGCGACGGCCCTTGGTCCGTTATAGCGTACTACGTTTAGCTTGCGGTGTGTTTGAAGTCGGAATCAAGACGAAAGTGAACTTTCAGTGTTTTTCGGTGGTTTTGTTTTTGTTTAACGTACTTTTGAATCTGCGGATTCAGTATGGTACGACAGTGTCAAGTGTGTGGAAAAATAAGCTCAAATTACCCGAATTTGTCTTTTTCACAGGTGAGTATTGTTTTCGTCATTGTACATAGGCGTCCCACAAGGGAGCCTCTCACAATCAAAATAATTTCTAATTATATTTGTAATTAATCTATTAAAACAAGAACGTAGTAGCCAGTAATTGAATTATAATTCGTCTCAATGACTACCTAACTGTTGTAGATCATAACAAATTTGAATATAAACGTTGCATTTGAAATTTTATTATAAGCCAGAAAGTGACATTTTTTTCTTAAAATTGCGTCATTTCTAGTCATTATATACGATATTCTAAAGAAATTTTGCTCAACAAATAAACAAAGGTGTTACCCGACCTTTTTTACATTTTATTGCTTTATTATATCTGCCCCTTCGGCCTTATTTAGACAATTTTTTACCACTGTACAAATATCTCTTCCTAGAGTTATTTGTACGGTGTGTTTACCTTTTTTTTAGAATGGGACAAACTGTAAATAATTCTTAGGCTACTAGTTTTATACATACCTATATACAGAGTGACCCAGGCCTCCAAAAAAGCTTTTTACCTATTACTACTAGCTGCTCTCGCCATAGTAGTACGTTTTGTACTCAAATGCTATTTTCTGCTTTTATGCTTTTCGTTTGTCGTATTGAGGGTTACAGCAAAGTCGGCCTGACGATGGAGATAAATCTCCGAAACCGGCCGTCGAATGGCTGTTCCCTTCAGTCTGATGAACTTAATGCAGAAAATAAGCATATATGTAGGGGTTAGGCCTTAATAATTTGTTGCTTCTTGTATTTTGTTTATTTATACATACCCTACCAAGCCTTGAGCTCCATCTACGGTAACGTAGATGAAGCAAACGTTATTCATTATTATGCGACAGAAATCCCATACTGTAGCACACAGGTTTGATACTTTTAATGAATCAATTTTCTCATTAAATATTGATTTTAGGTATAGGAAGTTATTAATAATACAAGATTAAACAACTATTACACAGTACTTCACAGGAAGCTATCGATTGCGAACTAACTAAATCGTTACTAATTACTAATTTTGAAGTTCTTTTTAAGATCAAAAATGGTAAAACTAAAACAGTTTAGGTTTTTTTAGACTTAAAAAGTTTTACCATTTTTGATCTTCATTTCAGATTAAACGGGAAGTTCTAAATAATGTTGCCTATTCTAAACAAGAAAAATTTATTTATAAGTTTTATAACACTCTAATTAAATTTGGACGAAAAGAATATTTCTGTTGCTGTAGGTAATTTTCTCAGGGAAAATACGAAAATAAAAATGACTTTTTAAGTAAAAAAAAAGTCAAAAAGACAAGTTATTCTAAAAAAGGACTGTCCTTTTCAAAAAAGGACAGGTGGCAACCCTAGGTATTTCTGGAATGGAAATTTAATGGCAAATCTACAACTTTAGTTTGAAAATATGTTCCGGCCACCTATGTTTACAAAAATGTCTAAAATGTGCTTTACCATTGCCTCCATATTCTGAAAAAAAATTGAAAGAAAAGTCACCAACCACACACCTAATATAGAACTGTTTCGGAAGCCTGAGTCACCCTGTAAATATTCAAAAGTAACTGAAAGTTTATATAGAAGTAACTGAAAGTTTAAATTGAAAATCGACGTAGGAGCGATTTTCGAAAAGCACCTACTAACGTTTCAACATAGGTATATGTGGGATATTAATTATATTATTATATTAGACCTTATAACAAAACTCATCTGATGAAAAACTGTTAATGTAGTATATTAATATGGAGTAAAAATTGTACTAATTAATTTACTTTTACTTTACTAATTAAATGCTTTCCAAAAAACGATACGCCACTGGCCAATAGAACAATCGAAATGCTCCTAGTTGCCGGTGTCGGAAATTTTAGACTTCTCTGTCTCTTCTGTCCTTGTTTGACACATTGGAATGTTTGATACACTACCAACGAGTATTTATGAATGAGATGTTCGGTCTATCTTTATAATGTCTTTGGTGTGTACCCTCGGAGGAAGAACTGTTGTCAGAGGAGGATGGGAAATACCGGGTCCTCTCTACAACAGGGGTATGATGGGTTATAGACTGTGTGATGACTCAAGGAAGGGGGGCACACACAATAGATCTTTAAGGTCGCAGTGTAACCCCCCTCTTACTCATTCTACATTCAAATATGTGTGTCAATTGAAAAGAATGAACAAATTTCGAGTAGTTTTTATCAGGGGGGTGACAGTGAAATAGGAAAATTGGAAACATTCATTCGTCATTCATTCATGTCTGTCATTCTCCTAACGACAAGTATGGCCGCCTAGACAAGGACAGCAATGTTTCTGTCTAACTTCACAGTTTACAATTGACAGATTTCAGAAACAACTTCAGATTTGTTCTAGAACAAATTTCGACGCCATTTTAATTCTCTCCATGTTCCCTCCGTTTAGTTTTGTTTTGTAAAGTAATAAAGCATATAAAATATATATTACATGAAAAATCCTGGAGAAAAAGACTTTTCTGCAGTACTAGGTATGTCCCATGTATATTAAAAATAGGTAGTAAATAAACACTATTTCTGTATTTTTTAGATGCAGGAAAATTTTCTTATGTTTATGATCGGCGATTTTTTGAAAATGGAAACAATTTACAGCAAGGTAAGATCATTTTTAACTATAGCCAACATTAGTTATTTCCAGTATGCGCGATTTATTGTCAATAATGCAATAAATCTGACTGATACAATCTGATTGTTATCCGACTAAAAGTCTCTTTTTGCTTCTTTTTGATTTATAAACCAGGTCTCTTTGGGAATAATGGACGCTTTTTTAAACAGTATATTTATATTTTATACTCTATTTTCTACACAAAGGAGGCGTGGCTTCTTAGTAAACGAATGGAGGTTACTTTGCTGGTCCGCTGTAAAATTCGCCTATATGACAAATCTAACGGAAAAATTTGCCTGGCGCATTCGCCAAAATGTAATTTTCACATTTGCATTGTTTGTCGCATCTGTTTAGGTTAGTCTGTGACCTTACTAATTTACGTTAAAATTGCATATAATTAAGTAATTGCTGTAGAAATCATTCAATTCTTTATTTTTTATATTTATTTAGTCGCGTTGTCTCATATTTCAAATAAATATGTTTGAATAAAATTTTGTTTTGTTTATTTATGATAAGAAAGAGTACAAAATACATTTAAACTGAAAGAGGGCCCGCCATTGAATAACCGGAAACGGAAATAAAAATGAAGCCATCATGTCAACCTGTCAATGGGAAAATTAGTTCTCCAGACGACAACGAAGGCTTTCGGTGGCGTATCGTGTTTCCACGATTTGACACAGAGTTGACACTTCTTTCTAGTTAATTATTTTATGGTTTTTATCTTAAATTTAATTATACACTATGTGCATAAATTTGACCGTGAATGATATTTAAAGAAATGTTTTTGTGGAAAAAACCAAAGAGACCTTTTTTGTAGAGCGTAAAATTTTGTATTATATGAATATGTCTTTGTCGAAGCTGTACGTTCATTTGCTTTGGAGCTAAAAAACTAAATGTAAAGTGTCAGAAAATCCCATGTTATTTAAATGAGAAAAGTATCATGATTTCAGCACGGTTTAAATTAAAAATTAAGAGCTTGTTTACGTTGGATAATTTTTTTTAAAGCCAAGACTAAAATTTCAGAGGGCAGCAGCAAAAAAAAATCAGTTTGGAAAATATCGGACATCCTAATGTATATTAGCGAGACCAAATAAACTTTTAGTCCCGTGATTAAGCTTGACCCGCACAGCGTTGCCTACTTTTACCATATTTTCTTATAATCAAAGTATTGTAGAAAACAAAAATAAATTAATTATAATTATATAAACCATTATTATTTACAACAACAAAACTCGTCTCCTTAACAGCACTTAAGGGACATAGAGGGCCATTACTACCGCTTTCCCGTTCAAAATATTCTAATAAGGTTGCAATGAGATTTTTATGGCTATTAAGCTATTTTGTACACTTCGCACTAAAAGAGGTTCTAAAAAGAACAATGTTCCATTGCAAAGTCTGCTAGTAAACATTTTTAAGCATAAAGTTTCACAACAAAATTCATTTAAACCAAAAACTCGTAATACAAAATGGAAGTGTCAAAACAAATCACAATATCAGGAAATAAATAAATAAATATGGTAACTTCACAGTTTTTACAGCAGAGCTACCACCTGAATCCCCAGCGTGAAATTTAATTTTCAGTTAGTCAGCCCGGCGCCGAATATGTCCATGGTTGGCAACAATGAATTTAAATATCGCGCCCTCGATTATGTAACTAAAAGTTTAATAGGTAAATGTTTATACCTACCTTCTAATACTGTATCTTTCATGTTCCCAAGCCAAAATGTCTTCAGCCAAGTTAATTTTCTTATGGACACCTTCAACTGTTTTTCCTGGAAATTTCTCACTGGTTGCCTTCAAATGCTTAAAGAAAATTGAAGCTGCCGAGCCTTCTTTGGGTGGTTTTGATACATGCATAAACATAGTGTCCGATGTTGCTAAAGTATCTAAACACATCACAATTGCAGCATCCTACAATTAAGATTAATAAAATTTCGCTACATAATATAGAATCCAAAAATCAATTAACATAAGGGTGTTCCGTTACAAAAACCTAACTTGATGTGTCACTTTCTTTGTGGACACCCTGTAAAACTCTCTATATTTTTAAAAAACGCTCTATATTAACCTACACATGCTCAGAAAATTTCATTTCAATACAAACTGTGCGTCTCTGTCGTTTGAGAGGCGTCACCCTGTATTTTTATCATATCTCTTTTGGTACCTGTATTAAAGAAGATTCAGCTGCATCTAATTGATCATCCAACCACTTCTTACTTCCCTGGTAATTAAATTTTCCACCTCCCGTTAGAACGAATACAATATTGTATTTGCCCCTTGTCGATGGATGAGAATATAGTGTAGAAAAAATTCTGACTAATTCTAATAAAACTATTAAACCTGATCCATTAGAGTCCACTCCATAAGAAAGATCCTAAAATTGATTATTTTATAATTTGTAAGAGTAACGTTATGGATTTTTATTAACTTACAGGTGCTATTCCAAAACTATCATAATACGCAACAATTACAATAGTAGGCACTTTACCGTCTGACCTGGATCCTTGTAAATAACCATGGATTGTCGCGATTTTATTGTTTGTTTGTACACTGGGTGTACTGGCCGAAATAACAATCTGATAACCATTTGCTGCAACTGAACCAAAAAGTGCCTCTGTAGCTGACTTCTTTTTATCATTCGTATCAATATTTGAAGCTAATTCTGTTATAATTCCATTAAATTCCTTTGTAGGTTTCACAAAATAAACAGGAATTTGAGTCTCTTGATCAAATACGATTTTATTCTCCAATATAAGATGTTGCTAGAATATATCCAACGTCTCATACACTAACATTGTTTTTATTGAATACATACCTGTTTCTCTGCAGTAAAATTAGTTAGATTTTCAGGTAACGCTAATACCAATGCTCCAACTTTGTTCTTAACATTTGAAAAGGTTTCATACGTTAAATCGGCCAGTCTTGTAACTATACAGTGTCTTGAGGAACTCCAAGTCGACAATGATCGAGCTTCAAGGTTTATAGCTGCGACTCTACTCCCTAAAATTGAAAAAAAAGAGTATGAATTAGAGACTTCTTTAAAAAAACTGTGGATTTACCGTAGGGGACTCCGTGTAAGTCGTAATGTTGCATGCGGTAAGCAGGGAATTCATAAGATGCTGATACTGGATTCGTTGGTGAAACAATAATGAAAATCGGTAGAAAAACTAATATATAGTACGGAATATAGGTTTTAAATAATTCGTCAACTTCACTCAACATTTTTATAAAAAAGAATTACTAATAAGTTAACATTAAATTGTAATTTCTTGTTAAACCTAGATTTTTTTTGAGTTTATGTAACCTAAAAGTGAGGTTAAGTAGAAAATTTTGGTTGACAAAGCAAAAAAAAACTTGTCATCAGATCTGACATTTCAATATTGACAAAATTTATCTATTAAAAATAAAAGTAAATTTTATCTCTTTTATATTTAATTTATAAGAATAAAATTTGGTTTATAATTTTATCTAATTAGTTTCTTCAATCAAAAAGTAGGTGAGATAGAAAATAACCTCAAAAACTACAAAGTAAACTTTACAAAAAAATTGCACTTTTTTTATTAAGGTTTTTGTCAAAAATACAATTTAAATTAAACAGTCTCATCTAGAAACAATTGCATGCTAATCATCAGCTAATCTTTTTTGACTATATTTCTCCTTGACTAAATTTATTTCGTCTCCTATATTTGTTGAATTTATGTATGGATGGAAATTTTTGAGTATTTCGCATACCTGAAAATAACAATTTTAATATTCTTTTCAAAATCTGCCTGCTCACAACCATATGTAACTTACATTACGTAGAAGTAATACAAATATTGGATCACCGGATCTCTGAAACAGCAATTGTAAGAGTTTTACCAAATTGTCCCATTGTCTTTTTAACAAGCAATCGATTATTGCTTTTCTCGTATACTGTAATGCGGTGAAATGTATTATGTTATCCTGACCTTGCATTTTCCCTAAGCATTTTTTCAACTTTACGTTACTAGTATCTGGTTCTGTATTAAAAAATCTATCTTTAAATTCTTCCCAGTTATAGGAATATATGCAAGGTAGTATATTTTCTTTTTCAGACTTAGTTTTATTTGTTTCCGGCGGCATAGTACTTATTGCTTCACGATCATTATTAATTTTCTTTGTAGATTTCTTTTGTCTTGTATTTACTTTTTGTTTTCCAGCCAACTTGGGATTCTTGGGCGAACTCCTTTTTCGGTGTCTGCTAGGAATTGTTTTTTCCATGGATAATCTTTAGTGGAATATATTGTAGTTAAAATTAAAAACTGTTTTATCTCATTAGTCTTATTCAAATTTGAACAAAATAACGAAATATGTTAAGGTTATCCCAACAACATCTTCTTTTTTGATCTATCTATAGCTAACTTCAATTTAATACCCTTTTTACTGTATAAAGGGTTGTCTATTCTCGAGAATCTTTTTTTATGAAACTTTGCAGTGGCGTAGTTATTAGTTTATTTCATCCCTGAAAGAATGAAATAACTGCATATTATAGGGACAAAAAGATTGAATATTGGATGTGAAAAAAAAATAATAATAATTGAAAATCTCTTTTGTTTATATTAATATTTATTTATAATTTGTTTAAATACACAAATATTTGGTTCATTTTAGACCTTCTAACTTTGCATTTCTAAAAATTTTTCTAGAATTTTGAGTTAAACCATCATGTAGGCCTACAAATAAATAAAAAATATAATTAATTTTACTAATTTAAATTTAACAATAATAGAAAATATGTTTATTACTAAATAGTTTAAAAACTGCTACTATTCATAACATATTTAATAATATCTTTTTTAGGATTAGTAAAGTGATCAGAACAGAAGCTAAAATTAAATTATAAACAGGGTGTTCCATTTAAAAGAACGAAGAAACATTCCCGATCCACTCACACTTTTTTCAGTCACCCTGTAGACAGTTTCCATTGAAGTGAAATTTTGTGAGCATATGGATTTAGCTAATTTAGAGCATTTCTTAAAAATATAGATAGTTCTACAGGGTGTCCCCAAAAAAAGTTACGAATTAAAGTTGTGTTTTTTGTAATGGAACACCCTATATATTAATTGATTTTTGGATTATAGGAGAAAAATAAAGGTGAGTTTCATTAGAGAAGTATATGACTAAAATGCAAGGTTTTTGATATATTTAACATTTTCAAAAAATAAAGAATATAATTTTTAAATTTCGATAAAAACCACCTAAACTAGAATTTTCCCGGTATATCCTAATATTTAGTTAAAATAACTATTAATTTTAAATCAAATTAAAACTTGAACCAAAAAATTATACAGAGTGAGACGAAATTAATATTGAACATTATATAGTCACCTTTAAAAGCAAGTTACTCTTTTATTTTAAATAGAACACACAGTATATTATTCCGATATTCAATCGGGAATTCATGTCTCTCCAAAATACTACTAGGGTTGCCTACACATCCAACAAAAAATTTTCTAGATATTTTCATTTTTATGATTTAGTGTCAGTAGATTTTTATTATTTTGATAAAATCTAGGTGGCTGTGATATGTCTGACGTTACTTCAACATAGCTGTCTAATTAGTTCAACTTTAATAACTAGTTATGGATTGTATCCAGGAGAACAAAAAAAAAATTCGAATTTAAACTTTTCCTGTGGATCTAAAATTGGCTCATCCATCACTGATTCATACAAAAACTGTCTAGTTTTTTTTTCTGGGACGAGCTCTAATGTCATTAGTAAAAACTGCTTCAATTTCCAGCTCTTGTCAGCTCTGCAGCATCCACTAATATTTCTCTAAAATGGTTGTCCAGTCTTTATTTTGACAAATAATCGTCGATAGCTTTTAAAGCTTTTGTGGACTCAATGATGTCGAGTTTCTCATTCTGAAGCAGTTTACTTTTATAGTTGCATTTATACTGTTGAAAATTTCGTACCGAAAATGACCATTTTTCCAAAATGTAGTACTGACGTACCGAATTTTGTCAAAATGTACCGAATTCGTCGAAACCCAAATTGTACCGAAACCGCCGCCGCCACCCTCAAATTTGGCAAGCAACTGCTCCTCTGCTCCACCCCTCAGGACGGACCTGCTTTCTTTCACAAAATGTGAAATATGCCAAAATCATTACATTTTAGTGATATGTTTTTTTAATAAAACTCACCTTTATTTTTATCACAAAAAAACTCAACTTTGATGCGTAACTTTTTTTATTGGGACACCCTGTAGAATTTTCTATATGTTCAAAAAATGCTCTAAACTGTATGAGAAGCGCCACCCTGTATACACTATTTAATTTATAATCTATAAAAATGTATACTACTTACTTCTGCATCTACTTCATACAGACATTGAACTAATAAGTAAGCTTTTTGGCAATGATCGGTCACGTGGTCTAAAAGAATGAGATGTTGCTAACTTATGTATTTATTGTGTGAGCAATATAAAGTTACCGAATTTTGCAACGCAGTGTTGTGCACCAACCCTGATTCCATCTTTCAAAGCGTCAGGAATCGCGTCCATGGCAGCTTCAACGTCGACATTACCTTGTAAGTCCATCTAAAATTAAAAAAACTTTATAGATACTACTTATATTGACAAAAAATATTTAGGCAAAATTGAAAAACATTTCGATGTAAGGTTGATTCACTTGATTCACCAAAGTGCAACTTTTTTCTAATTTAATCATCTCTATATCTATTCTGGTTTATGGGATTTCTGTAGTGTGCATTCTTATGTGAGACACTATGTATACAGGGTTGTTCACCACATACGACACGGAGTATTGTAGCTAAATGATTAGATTTTTACAAATTGTAAGTTTTGGGTTCGTTGAAGGACTATTAGAGCTACAATTTAAAAATATTTTTACAATATACAGAGTGTCCCAAATAAATAAAAAATATCAAAGTTGTATTTTTTTAAATGGAACATCCTGTATATTATTACATTTTTAGTTTCTACGATTAAAATAAAGGTAAATTTGATAAAGATTTATTACACTTAAACCTTACCGTTTTTGAAATATTTTAATTTTGTGAAATTGCAGTCAAAATTTTAAGGCTTCATTTCTCCAAAATTATCAAAGTTTTTAATACTAAATATTTGCTGAAGTCTATTTATTGATCAGATATTTTGTTGCAATAATAAAAATAATACTACCTTATACAGAGTGTCTAAAAATTTATTTTAAATTATTTCTAGCTTTAAACGGCAATAACTTGTTTAATTTAAATGGAACGCCTTGTATATTTTAGGAGAATCAGATGCACAATTTAATTGTCTATCAAATTATATTATACCACTTTTTACCTATCTCTTAAAGTTTCCGTAGAAAATGCATTTTCTTTTAATTTAGAACTTAGTTATCAATATACCCATGGACTATTGACATTTTAGATTATTTTAAAAGATGTAACAAATTTTAAAATGTACAGTAATACTATCTATTGTCGATATAATAATATTATTTCATTAAAAATAAAAAAAAACTGTTTAAATATTTGTTAAAGAGGACCAATTAATATGATTCCAGTATTCAAACATTATTAACTGACTGTTTGCTAATTGATTAATAATAATTGCTCGTTACTAAAAAACTGAAATTTGTATGGACATGAGACAGTGTGAATAAAGTAACACCTTAAAAATGATATTTCTGTTGTTATAAATGCTTATTTATAACAACAGAGACTACTGTCTTATATTGATTTCAAACTCAAATCCACATTTATTTATAATAATTCATTAACGAACACAATTAAGTATGTAATTAATTAGTATATGGGCGGAAATAATGGTGTTATATTTAATTAATGGTCCTCTTTAACAAAGATTTAAATACTTTTTTTTTGCATACAAATGAAATAGTAATATTATCGTTTTGCTAAAAACGATAATATTACTACCTCTACTCATTTATACATTTGTTGCTTTAAAAACAATCTAAAATGTCAATATTCCATATATTGATAAATGAGTTCTAAATTATAAGAAAATGCATTTTCTACGAAAACTTGAAGGATAGGTAAAAATGGTATAATACAATTTGATAGACAATTAAATTGTGCATCTGATTCTCATAAAATATACAGGGCGTTCCATTTAAATGAAACAAGTTATTGCCATTTGAAGCTAATAATTATTTAAAATAAATTTTTAGACACTCTGTATAAGGTAGTCTAATTTTTATTATTGCAACACAATAAGTGATTAATAAATAAACTTCATTAAATATTTAGTATTAAAAACTTTGATACCCTTGGAGAAATGAAGCTTTAAAATTTTACTGCAATTTCACAAAATTGAAAATATTTCAAAACGGTAAGGTTTAAGTATAATAAACCTTTATCAAATTTACCGTTATTTTAATCGTACAAACTAAAAATGTAATAATATACAGGGTGTTCCATTTAAAAAAATACAACTTTGATATTTTTTATTTATTTGGGACACTCTGTATCTTGTAAAAATATTTTTAAATTGTAGCTCTAATAGTCCTTCAATGAACCCCAAACTTACAATTTGTAAAAATCTCATCGTTTAGCTACAATACTCCGTGTTGTATGTGGTGAACAACCCTGTATATGAGTCTAACATATACAGAAATTGTAAAAAAAGAAGAAAAGTAAACTTAACTGGAATTTAAATTTCGCGCTGGGGATTCAGGTGGTAGCTCTGCTGTAAAAAATGTCAAGTTGCCATATTTATTTATTTATTTCCTGACATTGTCATTTGTTTTGACACTTCAGTTTTGTATAACGAGTTTTTGGTTTAAATAAACAGTGTTGTGATACTTTAGCCTAAAAATGTTGTTCTTTTTAGAACCTCTTTTAGTGCAAAGTGGGTACAAGATGGCTTAATAGCCGTAAAAACTCATCGCAACTTTATTAGAATATTTTGAACGGGAAAGTGGTAGTAAAGGCCCTTTATGTCCCTTAAGTGCTGTTAAGAAGTGTTTATATATTTATAATTAATTTATTTTTGTTTCCAAAATATTTCGATTTAAAGAAAATATGTAAAAGTGGGCAACACTGTGCTGGTCAAGCTTAATCACGTGACTAAAAGTTTATTTGATATGAACTATACAAAAATCATATACTTACAGCTCCTGTCTGAACCAGTAGACATTTTACATAGCACTAAAAACAAATAAAAGTATATATAAAATCATTGTTTTAATTTTATAGTTATTTACCTTAATGTTTTTATCTCCTTCTGGAAATTCTGCAATTTTCAGTTTATTAATTAGCGCTGAAATGTATGAAAAACAATTTAGTAATAAAGTATTTATGAATCTGTCATTGTTATACCTTCGCTTGCTCCACTTTGATTAACGCATATGTCGTGTAAAATTTTGAACATTTTCTTCATATCGTCTGACAATGTCTAAAAAAATCAAAAGTTTACTTTTAGTTATTTTTTATACAAATTCCATAGCGAGTTACGTTTTAAAAAATATTCAGAAATTATTTCAAGGAATTTATTACGAGTAGAAAAAATATTGTGCTGGGTTGGCTTTGGTTTCTACGTAATTTGACAAATAAATAAAGCTGTCTCTTTAGTTGTCAGTTTTGAGGCAATATTTTTTAATTCTCTTTCGTGTCGATTGTTGATTGAATTGGAGCCAGAATTGGCACAAAACGAAATAAGTATATTATAGTCTGTGAAACGAATAACTTTGAATTTGACAGTTCCCGCGGGCTTTTCTAGTGTTAATTTTATTAGGTTAGCAACTTGCGGTCATTCTGACGCAATGCCGTCTCTAGTAGAACAGCCTCGGAGCGAGATTTATGACGTCACGCTAACATAATTATTCCTTATATTTGACTATGGCTGAAATCGTACTCCATAGTCAATGTAGATAGTTTTAGTGTTAAGAATAATAATTTTAAAAAATATGTGGTCATCTTTTGACAAGTTTATATTAGTTTATTAATTGCAGTAAATATTATGTGGTTTGTGGTGTGAATATTTTATATGCAATTTTTGGATTATATTCGACACTATTTTTTTATATGACACAACACTGATGAAGGCTATAATGTTAGCCGAAACGTTTTTAAACCAAAAAATAATGAAAAACCAAATGAAAACTTAATCAGCGTTTTTCCCGAACCTAAATCGCAAGAAAATCAAAAATTTTATAGAATAATTTTACATTATAAAATGACAGCGATCTTTATTTCATAGCCATCGCTGACACATTTTTTTCTATGATATTGTATTATTTGCAAATATAATTTTTCGAACATTGATACTTGCAAAATATATGTACATATAAATTTTGTGAATGCAAATAATAATACATTACTGTTAGTAGATATTGAATGTTTTTTGTTAAATTTGGTCGATTTTCAAACCTCGAAATTTAAAATATATTTTACATTTTACCCATTATCTTATGTACCTACCTATTCATTATTTGTATATTATAAAACATTTGCTGCATTTGTATGGTTCATAGTTTATTTGCCAAAGTATTTATTACTATAAATAGGTATATATTATATTTATTAACTGTATATTTCATGTAAACTATATCATTTTTAAAATACAAACCAAAAATACGAGGAATAATTATGTTTTCCATGTATTCTACAACATCCTACTACAACAATCCGTATCTAATTAGCGTGACGTCATAAATCTCGCTCCGAGGCTGTTCTATTAGAGACGGCATTGGTCTGATATTTAGAAATGTCAAAAGCTGATGACATTTTACTCTTGACAATTATGCGATTTCGTGCAGTGCCTTCTATTAAAAGATCAGCCTACGGGCGGACTTTTGTTTACTTCATCAGCTGTACATACTTAGATATTGGGTTAGATTCCGTTTCATATTTTGTCGGTTGATTTTTGGTTTTCACTCTTTGATTTTTGGTATTATTTATTATTGTAGTGCAAAAAACTAATTATTTTGGTGTTGAAGTGACATAAACTACTACCAGATATATGGTCACTCTCGGTTTCTGCACAAAAAAATAGAAATTTTAAAATTACACGTTGTGCAAGTGATTTAACCTAAAAAGTGCCCATACATTTTTACTTATCGTGATTTTTGTGTGTGTTTTTAAGACTCTAACAATTCATCAATAAAGCTTAAGTGGAGTGTGTTATTGGTGCTATGCCTCATCTTTGTTGTGTTCCTGGTGGAAAGGATGGTTACTAAGGATAGTTATTATACTAGGCAGCCTAAAGTGTCCGGAAGAGCAAGAAAAGTGGGTACGAGTTATAAATCAAGAGAATTTTATTGAAAATATCTTTAATAAATTTAAAAGTAATATTCTCCCATGATGGTATTAATGAAAACTGGACAATTATGTTTATTTTATTCATATTGTGGAATCTCCACTCCAAGTGTTGCTGGTTCAGCTTCGATAGATTCAAACACGTAAGTAGGTATTATGATCTAGGGAAAATAAAGAATATGTGTATTAGAGATCATGAAAAAGATTATTATTTTGAGTTCAAATTTTAAAAAGATTTTGTAAAGACAAGACTGATACAGTTTAAAAGAAGAATGTGTTTTTGTTTGATAATATATAATGTATGTTAAGCATAACATATATTTGTTCAGTAATTTTAAGGAATAGTATTGATTATTTATAATACCAAATTAATATCAAATATTTAAGTGATGGCTGAATACAATATGAATAAAATAACAATAAAATTGGTATATTTGCATAATACAAAATTAAGTTTTAAGAATAAAGGTGTTACTAAAAATACTAAGAAATTCATATTTCTTTGTTTTAATTGGTCTAATGTTATTTACATTTTACGTAAGAATTATACCGTATCATCGAAAAAAATCGGCGTCTAGTTGGCTTTGGAAATGAACATCGATGACATTCCCTAAATAACTGTACACATAAAATAATTAACTAGAATTTTACAATCTTGGAAAATTTGATATTCTTGAACCTTGATTCTAAATATTCTAAATTTTTTGATTTTCTTGAATTTAGGTTCAGAAAACGCTTGATTGATTTTTCATTTGGTTTTTCATTATTTTTATTTGGTTTAAAAACTGATTGATTTTCATTTGGTTTTCATTATTTTTATTTGGTTTAAAAAACGGTTCGGCTAACATTATAGCCTCCATCAGTGTTGTGTCATATGAAAAAAGTAGTGTCGAATATAATCCAAAAATTGCATATAAAATATGCACACCACGCACATAATGTTTACTGCGTACTCCATAGTCAATGTAGATAATTTTAGTGTTAAGAATAATAATTTTAAAAATATGTGGTCATCTTTTGATAAGTTTATATTAGTTTATTAATTGCAGTAAACATTATGAGGTGTGAATTATATTGTATATGTAATTTTTGGATTATATTCGACACTATTTTTCTCATATGACACAACACTGTGAAGGCTATAGTTAGCCGAAACGTTTTTTTTAAACCAAATAAAAATAATGAAAACCCAAATGAAAACTTAATCAGCGTTTTTCCCGAACCTAAAAAATCCCAAGAAAATCAAAATTTTTAGAATAATTTAACATATAAAATGCCAGCGATCTTCATTTCATAGCCATCGCTGACGCCTTTTTAGATAATATTGTATTATTTGTAAATATAATTTTTCGAACATTGATACTTGCAAAATATACATATAAATTTTGTGAATGCAAATAATAATACATCACTATTAGTAGATATTCAATGTTTTTTGTTAAATTAGATCGATTTTCAAACCCCAAAATTTAAAATATATTTACATTTTACCCATTATCTTATGTACCCATACATTATTTGTACATTGTAAAACATTTGCTGCATATGTATGGTTCATAGTTTATTTGCCAAAGTATTTATTACTATAAATAGGTATATATGTTGTAGTTATTAACTGTATATTATGTATATTTCATTTAAACTATATCATTTTTAAAATAGAAACCAAAAATCTGAGGAATAATTATGTTTTCCATGTATTCTACAACATATTTATTAATCCGTTATATCTAACTAGCGTGACGTCATAAATCTCGCCCGTAGGCTGATCTTTTAATAGAAGGCATTGTTTCGTGTTGATTTTTGCAAGAAGAGGAAGAACTGTCACTTGTTTTATTATTTTCCTTTTCTATTTCACGAAAGTAAAAAGAGTTACCTATCTGATTCGTTCAGGCACTCAATTTAAAGAATACGTAAAGAATATCAGTAAGTTTTTTGACAGAGGGATTTTATATTTGTCATGTTGGTAAAAAATAACGGTCAAAATTCAAAGTTATTCATTTTATAGACTATACCAACATATATTCAGGCTGAGGCAACAAATGCCATATCCAAACTACTTCCATTTAAATCCCGAATAACTTATGAAAAGAAATATAAAAATTTATCTAATAATCTACCCTTGCTTAAAGTACTATTTTATTTACTATTTTTGATAGATAATAAGGCAATTTTAACAGTTCTGTTGCTATGGAAAAAAGAAATTTTTGTATAGTCTGTCCTGACTCAGGGAAGATTTAGACAGAAGACATCCAAAAATGACAGACATTCCTATTCGCCTGTGAATTGAAATGACAGACACGACTGTCATTGTCAAGAATCCTCCCGTTGGACAGACTATATCTGCAAATTTAACATTTTAAGTAATAAAAAATATCTAAAAAGTGGGTTTATTCGGTGAATTTTGAAAAACTTTATTTGAGATTGTTTTTTTTTAATTTTAGAGAAGTACACAATATTCAGCCATCTAGATGAAAAAAAATTGCTTTTTAGAGAATAGCTCCCAGCTAATCGGTATGTTAATCAAGTATTTATCTAGTGCTCATATACGGGGTGAGTCTAAAACAAGTGCAAATATTTTTTGGGATGGTATATTTGGACCCCAGAAACACGTCTATGAAGTTTATTTTGCGAAAATTTGGAATTAAAAAAAAATAATATTTTTTAATTTTACTTCCTGTTTCACCAGAAATTACTACAACTTTTGTTTTTAAAATAACACCTTCAGTAATTCCTTTACTTTATTCGATAGAAAATGACACTCTGAATAGAATGACATATCATATGTCAACTTTTGACATTTTCGCACATGGTTTATTCGAAATTGTAACATGCGGTTCATAACGACAACTTGACTCGAAATACCAAGTGTGTGGTATCAAATTATTCGTAAAAATATGCTTTTTCCAAATATGCTGATGAGCCACAATTGTCCATTTGAAAAAATTGAGATATGATTAAAAAAAAATCAAAAATACTATTTTTTAAGCGAAAATGTCAAAAGTTGACATATAATATGTCATTCTACCCAGAGTGTCATCATTTTCTATCGAATAAAGTAAAAATATACCGAGAGTGCCATTTAGAAATCCAAAGTTGTAAGTCATTTCCGGTGAAACAAGAAGTGACCAAAAACAATTGAATACGTCAATCAATTCTAATTTATGTCACATACTAACATACCAAATCTCGTTTTTGATCTGAAAAAATAAAAAAGTTATAGGGGGCGCGCCACCTTTGAGACGCACCCGGTATATAATGAGACTGTGCCAGTATCTGTATCATTTACTATTTTACTTTCCCTATATATTGTGGCTTTTCTAATTGATAGTGAAAGGACCTAACTAAGTATATTAATCTTTCTCTCTTTCTCTCTTTCTCTCGCAAATAATGGTATTTTGTTATATAGTTACAAGAAATACCTGTTTTAACTCTCTAATATGATTAAATAATAATATTTATCTTTACCTACTCCACCCACTGAAAGTATTCAATTCATTTTGAAATGGATCAAATAGGTATTTGCATATCATGTGTATAAGGTATTTTTACATGGTATTTTTAAGCTAAAATTCTCAGGATATACATTATATAAGGATTATATCAAGTTATTTTTTCTCAGAATAGGTCCAGGAATCGCCTGCTTAAATATTAACTTTGTTAAGAATATACCGGGTGCGTCCCAAAAGTGGCTCACCCCTATAACTTTTATATTTTTTTAGATAAAGAAACGAGATTTGGTATGTTAGCATATTATGACATAAATTGGGATAGATTGACGGTATTCAATTGAGCGTCCGGATTGCACAACAACCTTAAGGCGGGTTCTCACTTGTCAGTTTCGCTGACGCAGTCTGACTGATTCAGTGATACTGAACAAATAATGAACGTCAGAACACATTTTCATGTTAAATGATCAGTAAATTCGTACTTTCAGTTAAAGTGAAAACCAGTTCTACTTTTTTCATTTTTGACTGATCATTATCGAATAATGAATAGAAACTGAAGCGTGAGAACTACATTTGCGTGATTTGTTCAGTTTACAAGTTAAAGTTAATTAATTATTTTAATGTATATCTCCAAAAAAATCCTTTATGGGTATTTCGCCACTGCACTGCAAGAAAATCTACAAAATAAAATAGTTATTTTTTGTAAATACTTCTGCGTTAAACCTAAACGGACACTGCTTATCAGAAGTTATGTTTACAGTTATACAAATTGGCTTAACAAAGAAAAAAATGCTTAACGTTTCGGAAAGTCTATCGTCGGAAGCAAAAAAAATTCAAAGAATAAAGAAAAACAAACTATTTAAAATATTTAAATTCAAACTATTATGAGAACACGCTTTTTTAAAGCAGATACGTCTACAAGAAACCGTTGACGTTCTGTTAAAATAGAACGTCAACGGTTTCTTGTAGACGTATCTGCTTTAAAAAAAACGTTTTCTTCTTTCTGATTCACCAGAATATTCTGTAATTCATTTGCTAATTGTAAACTTCGCGAATTAAAAACTTCGCGAACACCTGGTTTCAATTTTGTTTTAACCATTTTCATGTCTGCGAAATCACCACCAAAATGTTTGGACCAACTGAATACTGAATGTAGCAAAACATGAAACGTGTGAATACAATCGTTGATTTTTATTTTTCATTGATAATGAATCAGTCAGACTGCGTCAGCGAAACTGACAAGTGAGAACCCGCCTTTAGCGCGTGGCCCCGGGCAGCCCAGTAGGCAAGCGAGACTGCGACGCGACGCGACGCGCCGATTTAACAAAATAAATAATTTTAAACCTGCCGTCATTTCGTTAATAATTATCGTAGCGTGTATAAATTTTTGCATAGAAATACTCATGAATCTTTAGCCCTTCCGACAAGTCTAAATAACTGGATTATTTTTTATATTTTCGATTTGTTTACATTGCCCGAGCATATTATAACTTTGAGATAAAAATCTCTGTTATAAATTTTAAAACTGACAGATAGGAATACTATCATTTAATTAGTTATACATTTAGTTACAACATATTCAAAATTTAGTTCTATCTGTTTATGTTAGCAGTAATAACGAGTATAAATAAAAAAAATGGTCAGTACAACGCTCACCGTTTTTAGCGCACGTTCAGCTTTGGTCTTAGTTTTAGCGCTATTTTTACAGAAAATAAATTCTGAACTTTGATCAAATGGCAAGAACATTATCATTGCCGATATCTCCTGGTTATAATTTAGTTCTTTTTTCAAAATATTGCATTGTTTTAGCTTAAAAAAAAATTGAATTATGCGGCTTTTTTGCGAGAGCTACCGGAGCTGCGTTAATAAAGAGATGGCTATGTACGTCAATCAAATAGCCACAATAGACTGTAATTTTACCTCGTCACGAGATTTTTTGGAAATATTGCACTTCCATTTATCCGGATTTCTACTAACTTTTGACCTTTCTTTTCGGTCGCATTTCCCTCTATTTAATAATAAATAATTTAAAAAAAACGCACAAATACTACTGGTAGTAAACAAGCTGTGGCAAAAATTTTCTATACTCCGTGTAAACAAAAGACTATCGCAAATACTGTCTTTCGATTGTCGTACATAGCCATCTCTTTATTAACGCAGTGCCGGTAGCTCTCGCAAAAAAGCCGCATAATTTAAGTTTTTTTTTAAGCTAAAACAATAAAATATTTTAAAAATAGAACTACATTATAACTAGGAGATATCGGCAATGATAATGTTCTTGTCATTTGATCAAAGTTCAGAATTTATTATCTGTAAAAATAGCGCTAAAACTAAAACCAAAGCTGAACGTGCGCTAAAAACGGCGAGCGTTGTACTGACCATTTTTTTATTTATACTCGTTATTACTGCTAACATAAACCGATAGACCTAAATTTTGAATATGTTGTAACTAATTAAATGATAGTATTCATATCTGTCAGTTTTAAAATTTATAACAGAGATTTTTATCTCAAAGTTATAATATGCTCGGGCAATGTAAACAAATCGAAAATATAAAAAATAATCCAGTTATTTAAGCTTGTCGGAAGGGCTAAAGACTCATGAGTATGTCTATGCAAAAATCAACACGATACGATAATTATTAACGAAATGACGGCAGGTTTAAAATTATTTATATTGTTCGTTATAATTATCGTTATAACATCGCGTCGCTGTCTCGCCTGCATACTGGGCTGCCCGCGGCCACGCGCTAAGGCCGTTGTGCAATCCGGACGCTCAATTGAATATGTCAATCAGTCCTAATTTATGTCATATACTAACATACCAAATCTTGTTTTTTATCTGAAAAAATAAAAAGTTATAGGGGTGAGCCACTTTTGAGACGCACCCGATATAAACAAGGATATTAATATGTCATTATAGGACACCCCGTACAGTTACCTGTAATATTATTATTATTATTATATATATAAGTTATGATTTTCAAAGACATTTAATATTAATTATAGCCTTAAATAAAAAAGATACTTTGTGTGTTTGAATTTTTTAATATACAGCATGTCCCGGATTATCCTAAGGAAATCCTAAAAAGGTCTTTCTATGGTAATATTATTTCGATTTCGTTCTTTGATAGATGGTTATTATTAATTTTGATGAACGTTATTTTTTTTGGTGTTGTTAAAGTATTACATTTTTCGATAACTCTTATCATCCTTTTCGTTAGCATTGAACTAAACACAATTTTGTTCTTTTTTAACAATTAAAACAGAAAAAAATATGACGTTAATTAAAATTCTATCAATAACATATAACAATAACGAACTTATATCACCATAGAAACGCGTCTTGATGTTCAGGACTTCAGGAAACACTCAGGAAAAAAATCAACCATATTTTCAAGTTTTTTTTTTTTCAATTTTCTCTAAAACGGTATGAAAATTTGGAAAAGTAAAAATGTTTGTGAAGAATACATTTTTCTCAAAATGTCAATAATAAAAAAGTTTTTCCTCTAGTAAAGACAATCCTGGGGGACATACTGTGTATAGTTTTATACCAAAACCAATGTTTTATACCAATTTATACCATATATCAATCTTATTTTTAACTAACAATAAAGCAACATGAAACTATCAATTTTTAAATTTGTGATGTTTTTAAGAAAGAAATAGTAGGTATTTTTTTAGAATAAAATTACCTTTTACAGTTTTCGTTGAAAGTTTTTCATAAGATTTATCGAATAATTTTATATTTAAATACATACTCAAAACAATTATCGCATTTCTAAAAACAATTATCATTTGAAAAACAAGACACTTTGAGTTCCCTGACTTACGATTTTAAATAGTATGGATACTGGTGAAGGGAAATTCCTGACCTGTAATTTTGAGTCGGCCGACTATTTAGTTGCAAAAGTGAAAACATGCTTATGAAGTCGATGTCGGCCGATTATTTGATTGCTTGTGAGCGCGGCTCCATAGGGATATTTTGGTTACAAATATGCAACTAAATAGTCGGCCGATTAAAAATTGCCTGTCAGCGCATAGCCTAATTTTTCTAAATAAACTCACAAGAGAAAGGCAGAAAAATGCATGGTTCATTTAGAAATATTTATGTTATAATTTTTTCTATTCAAATATGCGATAATTGTTTTGGGTAGTGTAATATAAATGTATATATTGTACTTAATTGTAATTAAGTATACTTACGGATTCATCAAACATTGCCAGTGTACTCGAAGCACATAACAAAAAAACAAAATACTTTGTAAACTGAGACATTTTAATGATGCTACTACCTCACTTGTTGAAATATTCGGAAATATTTTTTCACCTCAAAAATTAGTTTGATTTATATTGATCCAATGTTTGTATATTTAATAACTAGTTTACTAATTATACTTGGCAATTCTAATCATGGTTTGTGTTTGGTAATACTATAGTTAAATAGTTTTTTTTCGGTAATGATATAGCAAAAATAATAATTAAAAGTCAAGACGTGTTTTAGAAAAATTACGCTAAAAAAATGAGTGTCATATTTGTAATATTGCGTGCAAAATATAAAATTATAACACTAACTAGCTGACCCGACAAATGTTTTGCCATATAAATTATTTCTAGGATTCATCCCATCCCTACTCCGTGCTGTTGACTTGGTCAGAATTTAAGCGACACGATTATATGCCTGGCGGGGATAACTGAATAATATAATTGATCAGTTATCGACCGGGGTTGCAAATTATTGAATTATTTATATCTCGATTAAAAAATAGGGGTTGATGGTAAAAGGGTAAACATTTAGGGTTGTATGTATTTTTTAATGCCACGTCTTAAAAAAATAGAGGTATAAAAAAATAACAATATATTCTCAGAGCTACTGAATATAATACAAATAAAATTTCATTACAATCGGTCAACTCGTTTCGGAGGAGTATGGTAACTCGATTGAATTACTAACATCTCTATTAAAAAATAGGGATTCATAGTAGAAGGATGAAAATTTAGGTTTGTATGTATTTTTTTATGCCACATCTTAAAAAATGGAGACAAAAAATTTTGTTTGCGAAAATTTTTTACAAAACGTTTTACAAAAAAATAAAATAAAAATTTGGGGTGTATCACCCTTACCACTTAGGGCTATAAAAAATAGGTAACCTATTCTCAGACCTACTGAATATACATATAAAATTTCGTCAAAATCGGTTAAACCGTTTAGGAGGAGTAATACGTAATAAAAATTAAAAAAAATCCTTATTAAAAAACAGGGGTTAATGGTAGAAGGGTGAAAATTTAGGGTTGTATGTATTTTTTAATGCTATATCTTAAAAAATAGAGACAAAAAATTTTGCCCGAAAGTAAAAAAAAAATGGAGTGGATCAACCTTATCACTTAGGGTATAAACAATAGATAACAACCGTCTCTCAGACCTACTGAATATAAATATAAAATTTCATCAAAATCGGTAAAGCCGTTTCGGAGGAGTATGGTAACAAAAAATTATAAAAAACAATCCCTATTAAAAAATAGGGGTTGATGGTAGAAGGGTGAAAATTTAGGGTTTATGTATTTTTAATGCCTCATCATAAAAAAAATAAAAATAAAAATTTTCGTCCAAGAAATAAAAAAAATTGGGGTAGATCACCGTTGCACTTAGGGGTATAAAAAATAGGTAACAACCTATTCAGACCGACTGAATTTACATATAAAATTTGATCAGAATTGGTTAAACCGTTTAGGAGGAGTAATAGGTAATAAAAAAATTAATAAAACAATCCCTATTAAAAAACAGGGCTTGATAGAAGAAGGGTGAAAATTTAGGGTTGTGTGTATTTTTTAATGCTACATTTTAAAAAAATATGGACAAAAAAATTTGTACAAAAGTAAAAAAAAATTGGGGTGAACCAACCTTATCACTTAGGATATAAAAATAAAAATTTTTGTCCAAAAAATAAAAAAATTGGGGTAGACCACCCTTATCACTTAGGGGTATAAAAAATAGATAACAACCTATTCTCAGACCGACTGAATTTACATATAAAATTTCATCAAAATCGGTTAAACCGTTTAGGAGTAATATGTAATAAAAATTTAATAAAACAATCATTATTAAAAAAAGGGTTAACGGTAGAAGGGTGAAAATTTATGGTTTTATGTATTTTTTAATGCCACATCCTAAAAAAAATAGACACAAACTTTTGTCCAAAAGTCAAAAAAATTGGGGTGGACCAATCTTATCACTTAGGGGATAAAAAATAGATAACAACCTTTTCTCTGACCTACTGAATATACATATAAAATTTCACCAAAATCGGTTAAGCCGTTTCGGAGGAGTATGGTAACAAAAAATTAAAAAAAAACATCCCTATTAAAAAATAGAGGTTAATGGTAGAAGGGTGAAAATTTAGGGTTGTATGTATTTTTTAATGCCTCATCATAAAAAATAAAAATAAAAATTTTTATCCAAAAAATTGGGGAGACCACCCTTATCACTTAGGGGTATAAAAAATAGATAATAATAATAATAAAACGTCTTTATACATTAATTTCGAAAGTTGAAAAATTGAAACAAACGGTATAGGGCGAAGTTTAGCTAGAGAGCTATTCTACCATAACGCTAGATAAATACCTATTCTCAGACCTACTGAATTTACATATAAAATTTCATCAAAATCAGTCAAGCCGTTTTGAAGGAGTATGGTAACAAAAAATTTTAAAAAATCCCTATTAAAAAATAGGGGTTGATGGTAGAAGGGTGAAAATTTAGGGTTGTATGTATTTTTTAATGCGACATAGGTAATTATATTTACCTAATTATATATGTAAATGTACTTAGATAAAATAATTAAAAATACAAATACTGTTTTTTAAGATAAAATATTTTATTTTTGAACAAATAATATAAAATAACAAAATGTACCATTCTGTAAATACATTTTAAACAATATTATCCTTGCACGTGTCTGTCAGCTCAGTAGGTACTGACTTTGTTATTTAAACAAAATATTAATAATTAGTAAAGGTTATTCTACTAATAGTTTTACCCAGAATATGTTGCAAGAGCTAAACTATGAAAAATACCTATGGAAAAGAAATTAAATTATTAATTTAATTAAATTAAGATTATGATTTTACTTACGTCAGGGTTAACCTCATGTACGCACTTCATTGTTAAGAAAGCTTTTTCACAATGATCTGTCACGTTTTCTGAAAGTTTATTCTCAATATAAATATCTTTATGAATCTTATTAAGTATGTTTTCCAAACTTACTTAGTCTTTTGTTGCATATATGGACCACCGTACATATTAGTCCATTTTTGATTTCAGATGGGATGAATTTGTTGGCTGCATCACTACCAATATTTCCTTCAGTGTCCATCTAAGAAAAATAGTATATTTATACTAAAGCGCGGACAATTCTTGACTGATATGTATGAATAGCCGTCACAGATGTGACTGATATGTGTGAATCGACTTTAGAGACGAGTAAAAAATACACTTACAGCTCCAGCTTTCATCATGAGGCATTTTACGTAGCACTGAAATCAATACAAAATTTATCACTTATTGAAAAAATTGTTCGTAGGTATTTTTAATCAAAGATAAATATGTAAAAAATAATCTTTTCTATATCCAGTTATATGTGTTTGTCATTTTAGGAAATCGACCAGGGCTCACTTGATGAAGGGTAAAGGTCCAGATACCGGTCGCGAGAGGTTGGTTGATCCCGAAATGACAAAACCAACGTGGACATAGCAGTTCACGGCAAGCATTACATCATCGAGTTATAATATTTTAGCTATACCGTTATACTTACTTTGAGTTTGGAGTCTTCAACAAATTTTCCACTTTTTAGTTGTTCAATTAATTCTAAAATGAAACAAAAAAAAATCTGATAATATTTTCAATATTTTTGTTTAAAAGAAATAAAATGTTAATCTAAATTTGAGATTGGACAAACTAATAGTTGGAAAAACTATATAAAAAAATCTCTTACCTTCTTGCACTCCGGTTTCTTCAGTGCATGTATCATGTAATTTTTGCAGTGACTTTTTGAGATCATCTGGAAGATGCTGTATACAGAATATACATAGGTATAAAAATATATGTGCATTTCTTTACTATCGAAGAGTAGCAAATGAATAAATTTTGATTAAGTGTTTATTTTATATTTAAAAAACTATATCTATTTTTGCCATGTTTAAGTATCTCACTGTAAAGTTTTAAATAATGATGAACAAATGCAAGACTCTATTGGTCTTGGTCTTGCAGATACTTGGTCTCAGCCTTGGTCTAGCACTGGTCAGTTTTGGTCTTGGGTTTTCAGATCAAATGCTAGTCTTGGTCCTTGCTTTTTGTGCAAGACCAAGACCAAGAGAGTCTTGCATTTGTTCATCATTATTCAAAACTTTACAGCAAGATACTTAAACATAGCAAAAATAGATATATAGTTTTTTGAATATAGACAAAAGAATAATGTAAATTTTGCTAAAAAGAAATGTATAGTCAAAATAATATTATTTTACTTTTGTTTGTTAGTTCAATTTGTTATTTATTCTTTTGTACATTTTGTTATTTATTATTCATTAGCTAGTAATTTATATATTTTTTAAAAGTGAAATTAGGAATATTTCGTTTTGAATTACACTAAAATCTATTAAGTAAAAAAATATTTAGTATATTAGTGATTGTATATTATAATTTACTTTAAATACTTACTGTCTCGTCCACTTTGGCTAGTATGGTTGATATAAATAACAAAAAGACAATGCATTTAATAAAAAGAAACATATTGATATTAGATCTGGAAGTAGGTATCACCACAGTATCATCTAGTTTATATAGATTTATTTTGTAAATAATATAATTTTTCATAAATAAGTGTAAATGGATACGTAAATAAAAATATTAGTTTTATACAGGATGCTCTAACAAGATATCCATTTTAAGATTTTGAGCAATTTTATTTGTTAGAATCTTTTCTTAAAATGGTATTATAAATAATATTAAATCATCGTTTTATAAATCAGTAAAACATAATTGAATTAAATAGTTAACATTCAAAAAAATTTTTTTTTCTAATAATTTTTTTAAATGTAGTTATACTTAAATAACTTTGCCATAAAATTTACAATTTTGTTGAAATTAGTAGACATCATATCTTACTTTAAAATCAAAATCTTATGAATTTGGAAATGCTCTTTATATATGGAAAATAAAACACTATTTATATTATAAATGTTTATTAACTTTTATATACTACAGATAATAAATAAAATTAAGAAACCTATTATATTCATATTTTTCTTAAATGACAATTAAAATAATTGATAAATTATAGAACTAATTAACCAATAATAAGTACACATATTTTTGGTCGTTCCATCAAACAACTTATAAAATATTTAATTTATTGTCTTATATTTTTAATAAATTTTATACATATTAAAAAATTTGCATTATTTTAAATGTAATACAAGTTTCTGTTTACCTAGAAAAATAAATAACATGATTTTTGTAATAGAGGAAATAATAAATAAAAATATTTTTTTAGGCAAGCATCACTAAAATACTTATGAGTATATTGTTTCAGAATGATTGTGATCCAAAATTACAATTCTTTTTTGTAAATAAAAATTGTATTTTGGTTCACTTCGAAGTAACGTAATTTTATAATTATTATTATATCACACACAACAGTCACGTTATCATATTATGTACATCAATCTGGTAGGAAACACCTACCTATACAAAATAATTATTTATGTTATCATGAGAGCATGCCTTTTCATGATACACTATTAAATTTGAGTGAAATTTCTGTTTATGTCCATTTATTTCGACATTTTTCTTCCCTTTGATTTAACACATCGACCCTTATAACAAATTTCTGTCTCATGAGATATTTCAGTTGAAGTTGACGTTTTAATAACTTTCATTTTCCATGGGTGCACATCGTATTTTCTCGTAAAAACCTCAGTAGTCGTTGTTGGAGTACTAACATCTTCCTCAGTTTCTTTAGTGATGTATTTATCTGTATTAATATTAACTGAAGTACTAGAGTCTTCAGTTATCTCGTCAGGAAACGTTGGATTCACTAGTGTAGTTGTTGAAATCGTAGTACTTTGTTCAGTTAAAGTGGTATTTTGATTTTCTTTATTAAACAATCCAAACATTTCATAAATTGAATCAAAGATGCTCTCTTGAGATTTGAAGGTTGCTTGAGTTGTCGTGGTTAAAGATTCTTCATCATTCTTATCATCCTCTGTTGTTGTAATAATATCTTCATTATTATTTTCATTATTATCATCAGAATCTGAACTATTTTCTTCTGAAACTATATTACTAAGCTCTGTGGTAGGGATGAATGTCTTCTTGGCACTGTAAATGTTCTTAGTATACGGGTAAACTTTTGCAATAGTTTCAAAACCATTCAACACAGTTTTGTAGTTCTGCGACTCGGATCCTTCAAGTGGTTCTACTGGTTCGTGTCTTACAAGTTTCCAAACGCCTCTTCTTTTACTGTTAGGGGTAGATGTTGTTGTTACAACACTCTCATCAGTTGGGTAGGTTTGTATGCTTTCTAAATCTGATATCACTTCTTCAAATTCTTTCTCTGAGAAGTCAGTGTCATACTTTTTCGTTGTACCTAACATTGGAAGTGCTTCAGGACTAGGAGTAGTTACCAAACTTTCTGTTACATCATCATCCTTTTCTGTATTGTCTAAAATTTCTTCATTTCTATCATTTTCTTTTTCTTCAGTACTTTTTGTGTATTCCTTATTTAGCGATGCCTTTTTAGCACCATGTGCATCAGAAATATCGTTTGGAGCTGGTAAAACTTTAGCTTGATAAAACGACGAATGAGCTGACTGGTCAAGTAGATCTTCATCTTCATTGGGGCCTATAGTTATTTGAAAGTTTGGCGTAGTCACTTGGGGAGCAGCCGTTGACTCAAATTTTTGCAGAAAGTTTACTGGATAATTTTGATTAGCCACATCCTCTTCTTTGCTTCCTCTTTTAAGATTTTCTGTTCCTTGATAATGTGCCGATCCTCTACCACGAGTCCTAGCAGGTCTTCTTGTAGACTGTTCAGATGTTCTTGAGTTTCCCAGATCATTGTCATTCTGTCTGTAAGTATTTGTGGTTCTTGAAGATGGAGGTCTTGTTCTTGATCTTACTCTAGGTCTGGGTGTTTCTACAGATACTAATTCTTCATCTGCTTGCGCTGTTGTTCTGGTAGGTGTATACTTAGGTCTAATTTCTCCGACAAATTGAATGGCTGGCTGATCGATTGTTTCCGAAGGTGTAACCTGAGCCTCAATATTTCTTTGAGGATAATTTGGACTTCTTATAAAACCGTAGTACTCTGTTTCTTCATTTACCACTGCTTCTGGTCGAGCTGTGGTAGCTGGTCTAGTAACAGGTCTTGATGTTGTGGTGGTTGTAGTTGTAGAAAGAGTGAATCTAGATCTTCCTCTAGTACGACCTCTTCCTCGTGTAGGAGTAGTTTTTGCGGTTGTTGTTTCAGGATTGTTGTTAAGAATTCCAGCTGAACGAATATTAGCATTGTTATATTGTTGAACTTGTTCGTTTTGAATGGGTTTGACTTCAACAATTTCTTGTACGAGAGGTAATTCAGCATTTTCTGTAGGGATACTCTGTATTGGTATGTTTGATGACAAAGTGGGGTTATAGTTATAATTTTCGTATTCCACTAAAACGTTCCTCGCTGTTGAAGATTGTACTGGTATATAATTATAGGCATTAATTTCGGGGTTAGCTTCTACCGGTGTATTTATTTGTTGGAAATCACTTTGTGTATATTGTGGAACATTTTGTACGATTTGTTCATTATTTACATTCGCATAATAAATTTGTTCCACTGGTTGTTCTTTAACTTGTTGTTCTGTTGTTTGGACTGCAGCGGGTTTCTTGGTGACTTGATTCTGTGATTGACGACCCCTAGTTCGAGTTCTTTGCCTAGTATTCGTACTAGTTCGTACTGAATCATCTTTAAGTTCGTACTCGGAGCTTGAAGTTACTCTTTCCGTCGTAGTTCTAGTATAAGTTGGCCTTCTTCTACCGGCAGTTCTTCGAGAACTACTCGTAACAGTTGAAGCAGGTGTTGTAGTAGATGCTCTACCTCGTACTCTACCTCTAGTTCGTCCCCTAACTGTAGTAGACTTCTCAGTTTCAGGCTCAACGCTTGGTATGATTTCTGTATAAGCTTCCGTAGTAGAAATTACCTGCTTATCTTTCAGTGGAGTTACAACAAGCTCTTCCTGTGTTGCAGGCGGTAAAGCATTAGGTGTCAATAACGTTCTAACTGCTTGGTCCTGCAAGCTAATATAAGTCTGATCGAAATTAGGCTGGAACAAGTTTGGAGCCAACTCTTTTAATCGTTCTTGTAGATCAGGCGAAACATTTGAACCAATTGGAATATTTTGATCAGTTGCAACATTTGGATCAACCGGAATTTTATAGTTTTCAATTGGAACACTTGATTCAACTGGGGCAGCGTTATAATTTTCGTTGTTTATGTTTTGAACAAAGACTTGTTGGGTTGGTATTTGAGCTTGTTCTAAACCTGGAGACGTAATTTGTCTACCGGGAGCAGTAGTTTCCAGTTCGTTGTTTGTATTTTGAACTTTCTTTCTAAGTAATCTACGTCTCTTTGTTTGAACTGCTGGAGAATCGGTGGATTGTTCAGAAATACCGGCTTGATTATTTTGTACAGTACCGAGATGACTGTTTTCTCTTTGATCTTGTGCAGCACCAGTGGGACTGTAATTGACTGGTAATACACCTTGCAAGTTTTGAGAATTCTGAGTATTGTCCAGTAGGGTATATGTTTGTTGTTGTTGTCCCAAATTATAAACTGATGCAGGAATATTTTCGATGTTTACATTACCTTGATTAACTTGTTGGGGAGTTTCAAGTGCACCTGTCTGGATTGGTTTTGTTTTTTCACCATCCTTTGCATTTTCTAAAGGTTGATTAGGGTTTACAGCAGTCCTTTCTTCATTACCGAATAATTTCGACGAATCCTCAAACGCCCCTCCCAGTAAATAACTTTCTGTGGGTTTGTTCATGGAAGCCAGGAATTCTTCTAGAACTGTATATTTGTATTCTTCCAGAGGAGGTTTTGTAGATACTTTAGCAGTTCCTCTATTCCTATCTCTTACCCTACCTCTGCTGGGAGCTTCTGTGTTGTATTCTTGAGCATTCTGTGTGTGAAGTGGTTGTACTGTACTGGACACGAAATCATACTGAGAGATAGTTTGTGGTCTTGTCGTGGTAGAATGCTTAACTTTTCTATGTTCCTGCTCAAACTGATTGTTTATCTGTTGTAATTCAAAGTTGTTTATAGCTAAATCTAACGAATTTGCGTTTTCGGTGTTAGTTTTTACTTCATTTTGGCGTGGAGTTGTAGTTGGGATATTATAATTGTTTTGTGGTACACGTGAATAACTCTCTTCTATAGGTTTGTATGTATTTAAAGGTGTAGAATTCTCTTGTACACCTCTTTGAGGTTGATTACTTAAAGCATCTTGAGTCTCGTAAAGGGGTGGTTGTCTGACATTAAAAGAGTTTTGTCCATTAACTGAGGCTTGTTCCGTTGTTGGAGTCGCTTGGAATGAATTTGTTTCAGCATCATAAGTTTGATAGTTCGGGTTTACGTAGTTTTGTACAGGACTTGGTGTCTGATAATCGAAATTGTATCCGTTATAATTTAAGCCAAAGGGATTTGGATTGAAATAAGTCGGGCGAGTTGTAGTTGTTAAAGGAGCTCTGGGTATGGAAACCACGACAGACCCTACGTGAGGAGACGGTAGTGGGATTTTCGAGTATCCAGGTGGAGTACTGTAACTTACTGGTGCCACGAAGAAAGGTAGTTGATCAATTTTTCGCTCAATTCTATTACCGTTTAAGTTATTCAAGTATGGCAAAGGAAACTTGGTATAACCTTCAGATACTTCCAAACTTGAAGGTCCAATAAATACACTTGGAGAATTAGGAGATAGTCTATCCTGCACAGCTATAGATTTAGCATCCTTAAGCACATTTAGCGCATCAGAAACTTCGGCTTCACTTTGTGACTCTAAAAATAGAGCTAGCGGTGGTTGATGTGCTTTACGTCTCGGTTTGGCCGTAGTCCCATCTTGATACAGCGGATTGATTTCGTCCTGAAGCGTTTCTTGCAATTTATGAGCGTAGTAAGCCTGTTGCACAAAGTCTTTCTCGATATTATCGAGTTTCTTTTGTTTATTTTCAACGGGACTCTTCACAGGTGGTGAAGGTGTGTTGATATAGTTAAAACTATTTGATTTAACAGGGTTTGAGAATCCAAACTGTTGCGGTTCACGGGCTGGAATTTTAGAACTATAAACAGCTTGTGATGATTTTAACTGGTTGATGTTTTGAGGTTGGGCTTGGTATTGTTGAACTGGTGGTGGTTGGGTTGGTTTTAGGTTTTCTACCGGTACATATACCAACTGGACGTTCTGGTTTGGTTGTGGTGGTGCTTCATATGATGATGTATGTTTTTCTAAAACCGGTAAGGTTTTCTGGATGGTTGTTGAAGGAGAGTTTTGTGCTATAACCTCATTAACCTTGTTAATAGCATTGATACTTTGATATAATCCGTCGTTTATGGTTGTTGGATTTAAAGACTGATAATAGCTCGAGTTTAGTGCTGGCTGGTACTGATTATAAACACTAGGAGCGTTAACTGGAGGTACCTCTGGATTAATACTCGGCACTGGAACGTAGTTCTTGGTTAAAGCTTGTGCGTTAGGTTTCTGTTGAGTCGACGCCAGATAGTTCTGTTTCACTTGCTCAACTATTTGCGATGCGGATGGTATAGGAGGGTGTTCAAAAGTATAAGGTGAAGAATTTTCAGCATAGTAATTAATTTGAGGGACTCTTCTAGACGGAGGTGGTGGAGGTGTCTCGAATTTATAATCTGACGGGTTCTTCAGTCTTCTCGGAACATGATTCGGGTTTATTTTTTCATGTTTGATAGGTCTGTATTCTTTGCTGACCGGAAATTTCTGGACGGGTACTTCCAAATTGAGTATTCTATCGCTGGCTACTTGTTCTTGATTTTGGTTGACAGGTACATTTGATTTGGATGGCGTTGACGTAACTGGTATCCATTCTCCTGTGTCGTATGTTCGTTCGCCTTGTGCTTGTGTTTGAGCTACCAGGAGAAGTGTACAAGTGACGATGATGTGCCATTTGTGCTCTCGTGGAATCTGAAAAAAAAACGTATTTTTAACTGACACATTTTTAACGTTTATATTATTAAAAAATAACGTACATTTTCAACTGCAATTAAAAGTATTAAAGTCTTGTAAAATAGCATAAATATACCTTAGCATTTTGAAATAAACATAATTACAAAATTATGTCTATACCACTTTGATTATAAATGGTGTCATTACTGCTATACGATTAATAATGACACCTATATTGTTAAATTTGTCAATTTGTTAATTAGATAGAACAATAAGATTTAATTATAGTTACCAAAACAACGCCTACTTTTGCGATTTTGAAATACGATCATTGTTAAATTTGCGTGAGTGTGTTGATTGTTTACTCACATTTGAGTAGGCATAGGATTTAATTTATCATTGTGTAAAAAAAAATCCTTCATTTGTTGTGGTACATACTGTAGATATTTTTAAGAAAGTTATATATGTAAACAAATACATTATTTCAAGGTAAACGTTGTGGTAACTTTATATTTCAGGAGATATCCATTTCAACCTATGATTTCAACTTATACCTACTTAGTTCAATCTGTTACATCTATTCAGTATAATATGACCAATTTAAAATTGAGGTTAGACAGGAATAATGGTAACTAAACTGTAAATAATATAATGAGCGACAAAAAAAGGAGAACACCTTTAAGAAAAATGTCTATACCGGGTGCGTCTCGAAAGTGGCTCACCCCCCATAACTTTTTTATTTTTTCAGATAAAAAAACGAGATTTGGTATGGTAGTATATAATATAATTTAGGATTGATTGGACGTATTCAATTGTTTTTGGTCACTTCCTGTTTCACCGGAAATGAAAACTTTTGATTTTTAAATGGCACCCTCGGTATATTTCTATTTTATTCGATATGATGCACAGTGCTTCGTCCCATGGACAAAAATCGAAAAATAAGTTAAAATTTACTAATATCTGGATATGTAATTTTACACTTATAGCAATGTTCAACCATCCTGTATATTATTTTTCATAAACAGCGTTTTTTGTTAGCAAATAGTTTCACTAAAAATAAATTTTGCGATCATTATCTTATCAGTGAAAATAATAATATTCATAGTAGTTCTGCATATTATGGAGTTAAACGGTACGTACTTAATTGAAAGCCACTATTTATATTGGATTATGGATATTGTTAAACAAGGTATGTACTTTAAATTTATTTCTAAACAAGTTCGTGATTGTTTAGTTTTTATTTATTTTTTAAGATGATTCTTAAATGGGTATAAAAATTTTACGTTTTCAAACTTCAAAAAGGCATATAAAAAAAACATATCAAAACATATCGTATTTATTGAATATTTTTGTTGTCATATTCATACACTTTTAATTTTTGTATAGTTCACCTGCGTCTGCTTGCGACGAACTTTATTTTATAATACTTTTCCAGATGGAGTAAAATTGATAAGCAATGCCGATCTTGTTAATACTTGGCTTGATCATAAGGACAAGAACTCAAAATTATTTGTATTTCAAAAAATGTGTTCTTTATTAGATATTGATGGACCTTCCAGTCAAATGAGACACACTTGAAATTCGTGCCTGAAAAAGTCCACTATGTTGGAGCGAAACGTCGCATAAAAAAAGTTTCCATCTTTCAATTTATTATAAAACCTCATACCCAAGAAAAGGAAAAAATAATATATGGATATGGTCTATTAAAGAGGTATCTATTAACATCCGAACCCCTCATACCAACAAAAAGAACAGTAACAACGCGAAAAAGTAACATATTAGAAAATGATGTACAGAAATATCTTATATGTGAGGATACTTCATCTACCTGTGATTTGGATACTATAAATTTGGAAGATTCTGTCAGCAGTGATTCTTCTGAATCAGAGTAGTTACGATCTATGCATTTTGTTGAAGTAAATTTATAGTATCTTAAGTTTTTTTTTTAATTAAATATAACTTTAATGTTTCTTTTTAATTAAAGAAAAATATTTTTATCTTATATTAGGCTTATATTGTAGGAATCTATTGTAGGAATGTTCTAATGTTATTTCAATTCTTTTTTATCACAGGGATTTATTTAATACTTACACCGTTTTCATACTATAAATTATTATTTCCTTAGATGGAACACAGCTCCAACATTTTTATTATTTATAAGATTTTTTTTTCATAAACGTGGGACTAAGAACATCATCATTTAATACAATGAGAGTACTCATCATTTGTGTCAAATAAACCTAGTTTGAATAAATTGCCTACAATAAAAGAGAAGTTTTGGATTTTTGTCCTCTAGAGCCATATGTTCGAAGCACTGTGTGACACCCTGAATAGAGTGACATATTATATGTCAACTTTTGACATTTTTGTTAGAAAAATCGAATTTTAAATTTCAATAGAGGGCCATGGCAGTGTTGAAAACACTAATTTTTATTCAAGGAGCCTTGGAAAAATAGTTTTGATCGTCTAATGTTTTCCATGTCTTGTCATGACAGGTTAAAAGATGCCCAAATCGTATTTTTAATCATATCTCAATTTTTCAAATGGAACGAGGGTGGCTCATTATCACATTACTTGTTTTTTGTGTTTTTTATTTAAAAATTGTATTAATCACTCTTTTATTGACCGCTTTTATATAGCCAAAGATGCAAGTGTGTTCAGTGAGAAGTTAATTTTAAGTTTGTGCAATTATATTTTTTTTTTCGTTGGACTCGTAAAAATGACTAGAAAGTATTTGGTGTGTGGAAGTTCTAAAAGGAAAAAAAAGAAGATAAATGTATGTTTGCGACAGTTTCCATAGTGATTTACTTATCCACGTAAGTATAAATAAATAAATAAATAAATAAATGCCTTTATTGTCAAAAATTTTTTCAATTTGTAGACAAAGGTAAACTAACAAACAAAGTAAAAAAAACAAGGTACACAAACAAAAGATAATACAAAACATTATACAAATAATATTGTCAGTCTTATTGTTAAAATAAACGTTTATAAATGTTTACAATGTCAAAGAACAAAAAAAATTAAAATATAATATTCAAAAATATTTAGTCAGTTTATAGCAAAATATCAATGACCTCCAAATAAATTAATTTCGATGTCATTAGTAAATATAGCAATAGCAAACATTAGACCAGTGTTTTCAAAATCAAATTCGATTTTCAATTCAAATATAATTCATTTACGGCGTAGAAAGCCTTGTCTAGTAAATAAGAGTTCAATGCTCTGCGAAATGAAAAAAATGATGTTATGGATTTGATTTCAAATGGCAGGTGATTGTGCATTTTTTTCGAGTTGTATAATATTGAACTTTTAACTAATTCTGAGCGTGGGGTAGGTAGATAAAGATCTTGCTCCGCGTTCCTGAGTAGATAAGTGTGAGATGGCCTTTCTTGAGAAGCTGATACATGTTTACGTATTAGGCCAAAGGATTCAAATACAAATAAGGAAGGAAGAGTCAATATTTTTAATTCTTTAAAAAAGCCCCGGCAATGAGTTCTGCTGTTTTGTCCCAGTGAATATCGAACAGCTCTCTTCTGGAGCTTGAAAATGCGGTCAAATTGAGCCGCACAACACGCACCCCAGAATGGAAGGGCATACCTGAGGTGCGACTCAAAAAGTGCATAATAAACAGTTCTAGCCACTGACAAGTTAAGCTCCTTAGAAACAGACCTTAATGCAAAACAGGCAGAGCTCAATTTTTTCGACAAAGCTTCGATATGTATGTCCCATTTCCGAGAATTGTCCACAACAAGCCCTAAGAATTTTACAGATTTTACGACGTCAATGGTGGTGTTGTTAAGTACAAAAGGCTGTATATTAAGATCTAGGAATAAACCAAATGCGAAAATATCAAAAGTTGACATATGATATGCATATATTTCTATTCAGAAAAAGAAAATCTACAAAATAAAATAAATATTTTTTTTAAATACTGCTGCGTTAATGCAACGGAGAACAAGTATGGTCTCCATGGGAGTAACCCATTCAAAACCGATGAACTTTTTTTCTACCAAGACAATGCCGCAACACATGTTGCTCGAGCATTAATAGCCTTTATGAATTAGCACTATGTTAACCGTTTAATTAATACATAATTATTAAAGTTAAAGTATCATAATTAATGATATAATTGTCAATCAAATAATTTTAGCCAAAAATACTCACATTCTATTATTCTTTTTAGCCGATTATGAAACCTAAACATTTTTTCGTATTTCTGACATACTTTTACGCTCGATTTATTAAAGCTTAGGTATTTCTGAAAAAAAAACAGAATCGTGTTGTAACGATTGATCTAATTTCCCAATTCTTAAATTTTCTACCATGAAGACATCTTTCCTTAAATTAAAACTGAAAATAGCTACTTTTTTCAATTCGATTACAATTTTCCGGTTTAATATCAGCATCAAATTGCTGTGATTAAATTATTTAGATATAACAGCAAGTAATTTAGTTTAAAATTTAAATGGAATTTACTTAACAGCATCGGATCATGTTACCATGACCTTGACCTTGAAAATAAATAAATTTTAAAGATTTATGGAAGATATTTACAACTGTATCTAAATAAACAGAAATTTTATCATTTCTCGTTTTCAAAATAATGAGTTAATGAAGTTTTTTGAGATAATAGTTTTTAATCAAAGTTGTATTTTCTTTAAATGGAACACCCTGTATATTATATGTTTCTACGATTAAAATAAAGGTAAATTTTATTAAGGTTTATTACACTTAAATCTTTTTTAACTGTTTTTGAAATATATTCAATTTTGTGAAATTGCAGTAAAAATTTTAAGGTTTCATTCTCCAAGGGTGTCAAAGTTTTTAATACCAAATATTTACTGAAGTTTATTTATTGATCAGTTATTGTGTTGCAATAATAAAAATAATACTACCTCGTACAGAATGTCCAAAAATTTATATTAAATAATTTCTAGATTTAAACGGCAATAACTTGTTTAATTTAAATGGAACAACCTGTATATTTTAGGAGAATCAGATACAAAATGCCATTG